CACATGCCTGTACGTCCTATATGATACTTCAAAAACACAATACTCAAATCACAAACTAACACATTTTAGACCATCAACATATCTCCACTACAACATCTGACCACACAAAGACACGGAAAGACACAAAACTAACAGACAGAAAAAACATCACAACACTTTCGCTATGTATTCTCAACAAATCGGCCTTAGCCAGGAATACACGAAGTCGTATCATTATTCTCTCTTCTACTTGTACACAAAAAAGAACTAGGGAGAAACACAAGACTAACAGACAAAAGAAAAATAACAATACTCCGCTTTGTCACTAACAAATCGGCCTTAGCCAAGGACAAACGGAATCGTATCATCATTTCCTCCTACTTATAACACAGAATAGGAACAAATAAAACTCGGGGAAATACGGAAATAACAAACATAAGGCAAATAACAATACTTCGCTTTGTCACTAACAAATCGGCCTTAGCCATGGACAAACGAAATCGTATTATTACTTCCTCCTACTTATAAAACAAAAGACAACAAGCGAAAAACATAAATGGACTGTAACAGAAAATATTTTCCTTTTCGGGGCTTAAATAAATTTCACACATTGCCTGGACTATTAAACTCTAAGATACGAAAAAATTTGACCTATATTTTTCGTACAACAGCTGATTTCTGAAACGCAATAAATTGCACAAACACTCAATAAGAAGACGAAATAAAGTGACCTATGAACACTTAAAGAAAGGACAGCGTCTACATACGAAATAAATTATTTCGTTAACGTAAACAAAATTCTTTTCTCAGACATGGGATGGTACTTAAGACGAACAAGAATAAACAAACTATTATCGTTCACATTTTAAAAATGCCGACAATAACATAGGAATGACATCATTCCAAATACGTATTTTTTCGATCTCAGAAAATAGACTGAAAAATTTCTACGTAATTTTACGAAAACTGGACATAGAAGAAAATTGAAATCGTAGCAGTTAACTTGGGACAGGAATAGACTTAATTTAACGGAAAACTGGATAAAGCAAATCCACAAAATAACAGAAAAAAAAACGGTTCGAAGCAAACTCAACGAACTTCACATACAGGGTGGGACAAAAATACTGAAACAATGATTGGGTGAAAGCAAATACACAACGTATACAAAACAACATACTCGATAAACTTCACATACAGGGTGATACAAAAATACTAATAATATTGAAAACTTGACTTTTGAGTGAGCTCCACAAAATAACACAACATAAAACAACCTTGCTCTTGTTCTGAAAACTAAATGAGACTGCTCCTAGGCAAAACTAAACAGCACCTCCGATCACGAGTATAACACTTGTCATCATTCAGATACAAGACAGGAAACACAAAAGGGGACTCAGGGGAACACAATCTCCTATTAACCCGTGGCATTACATACGCCGTCAAAGCTGGTTAATTAGGGAACAACAGGGGAACACAGGGGACTACTCTTCACATTCACAATCTCCTACTGCCCGTGGCATAACACAAACGCCGTCAGAGAGGGGATAGAGGAAACAATGAAATGTCTTAGGACAAAAGACAAAACACAACTATACTCATCAGCTCAAAAAAAAGTCACTCAAACAATAAACACATTTACTCAAAATGACCAGACAAAACAAAATTACAAAAACCGATTTTTCTGTAAGAAATGTCAAATCAATCAAAAATAAATGGCACAATAACGGTATACTTAATTTGTTACTGTAAATAACTTAAAATTCTTTTCAACATCAAAACATTATTTAAAATTCAATTTAAATATTCAAACTCAAAATATTCGCTTTCATTTACCAATACACAAAAATACATATAGAAAAATTTCTACAGTACACGAAATAAAAGATACAACATTACATATGTCAAATACAACAAATACATCTGTTGATATACAATAATACATATGTCAATACAAGAACAATACATAAAAAAAACAACAATACATATGTTGATACAAATACATAAACAAACTGTTTGTGGGACACCGGGGCACTACCTGGAAGACAGGGTTTCATAAAAATGGCAGAAAACTATGGCAGAAAAATTGAAAAAGATATGTGGCTTGGGAAAAAGGTCAAAAATCTAAAAATTAAGGAATATTCAAAAGCCTCGCACGTTGGGAGCCATTTTTGTAACGAAAATATTTTGCCTACCACAGGGGCATTAATATAAGGTAGAAAATTGGGGGAAGAAACTATTGGGGGTGGAGATAGGGCAAGCAAAATAATCGCTACTGATGCGAACGGACACTCAGGGTTTCGTAGGAGAGCTGGGGTCGTGGATAAGTAAAAGATAAGGGCATTGGAATGGGGCAACTACAAAAAAATGAAATAAAGGGCTCTTGGGATAAACAAAATAAAAATTAAACAGAAAACACCTCAAGAAATTTGATTATAGGGCGCCACTTGAGGTGCCTAATTATGCCTATTACAACCCACTCGTTGTAACTAGGGAAATAATTAGAAAAAAAAATCAACATAAAAAAACATATCTTTTTCAAATAAAAATCAATAAAGGTTTAGCTCAAAAAAAATAAATAAAAAGTTAAGACAACAAAATTTAACCTTTATTTATGTGTCATACCACAAACAGTTACACAAATACAGATAATAATAACAACATACACGAACAACTTACAATGGTGCTATCGGTTTACAACAAACTCTAGACGTTGGGGACAATATTTGGGAGACATTTTGTAGCGGTTCCAACAACTAGTCGTAACTATTTAAATACTTATTATAAATCAAAATATCTTTTTAAATGGATCTTACTCACTGAGATTAGCTTTTTTTAAAAACAAAAAAAAAACAAATTCAAAATTTATGGTTATGCATGTACCCAATGTCCGAAGAAAATAATGCTAACTGTCATACGCCAAGATTAAATATTAAAACTTTATAAGAATAATTAATATGACAGTTAGCCAATTCCTAAAATTAATACTAATCAAAATGTCCATTTTTACTTTAAAAATTTTAACAAAAAAAAATACCTGATATCACTGACTATTGTATCTCCTTTAAAAGTTTTGGCGTTGGAACTGGACTCCAAAATACAGCAAAACAAACAAATGAGTCTCACAAGCTGCAAAATGTTCTGGAGTGACTAACGACAACAAATAGATGATGAAAGCTGGGCACTAGATTATCTTGTCGCAATCTTCATGGCTTAGCTCTTCAAAAACTCAGGCTCTTGCTTGAAACCATATGGACATCTTTTAAACTGATCGAAACGCCGTGTTGTCAAATCCCTCAGATAAAACAGCACGAACAAAATCGGCGAGTAACTCAGACAAAAACTGACACATTACATCTGAGTATAAAATTCACCTCTTCATAAAAAATTGTTGGTTCCTTGAAGAATACACACCCAGGCTCTTTTCCCGTCAAGATCTTAAACCAACCTCAAACTGTAACTATACATGTTACCAAACTTCACTATTTCTAATAACAAAAATAAAACAATAACCAAAAACCATTACGAATTTGACGAAAATTCGGACTAAACAAACGAAACCAACTGCCCTTGACAGCGGTTCCACCGATAGTGACGAAATTAAAAATTTGTTCGCTTAACTTGAAAATCAACGAACTGCTGAAATAGCAAAACTAACGAACGACGTAGATATCCTTTGAAACGCATTTACATGAAAAGAAATCGCCGCAGTAAAATAAACAACAATTAAATGGATTTATTACTCTACGACGTTAGAATGATTGAAAACACTTTTCGAAAGATACGAACTAAAAAACAGAAAACATTCTTCGTTTTATTAAGACGATTTTATATACGAGGCGACTTTAAATATACTTCAAAGAATCAATCAAATTTAAAATGCTACAAGATCACTGCCATTATATACATAGTATAGTAGTACACATTAATTTTACACAAGGTGAAATAATTCAATTATATAGGTTGTTATTATTATTAAATAAGTTACTAACTTTCTACAAATTAAAAAACCAGTATTTTTTAATATGGTATGCCTAATACTGCACTGATATATATTTAAAAATATGTATGTGAAATTTACTAAAGTGAACCTTTTATTTCCTGTATCATTCACATGAAAAATTTAACTATTCACATGAATTATATTAAACAATTTGTGCTTTGTGTAATCTACTTAATCTATAGGATATTTTCAGTATCTTATTAATGTTTCTGTAATAAAAAGAATAAAAAATATACATTGTCATTATCAATATATTAGGGAACCAATTTATTTCATTAATTATACAACAATGGAACTAGTTAGTACATTGTTATTTTTTCTCATACAATAACTGAGGCTATTCTTATTTAAAGTAAGGTTTTATATATTTCAAAATATCTATATTGATTTATTATAAGATTTATATAAACATATTTATTAACTTAAGTACAGAACAACTTCAGCTCAGAATGTGCTACTTTATTTTACTATAAATGTTGGGTTATTACTTATAGGAGGATATCAAATTAATAAAGTGTAATTAAAAGGCTTTAAATTATCAAAATGAACCCTAATCATTAATGTTTGTTAATTAATAATATACTGGAAGATCTAAAAAACATTTGTGAATTGTAATAAATTGATTACTCTGGTCCCTTTATTGGTGAGTTGTAACTAGATAATTTTATGAGGGTGAAAGTACTGCTAAGCTACAAATACTTTCTTTCATAAGCTGGCAATAGGAAAATCAGAATCCTCTTTATTTTGACCTCGAATGTGATTATGACCTATTTATCAGTAAATATACACTGTATTTAACACTGAATTATTTCAAAAATTAAGTTCATTCAAACTGGTCTACTAATACGTCCTTTCTTACAAAGAAATCTTCGAATGAGTAATTATAACTACTTACTACTTGACTTTGAACCTGAATGAATTGCTTTTCTGTTAATAAAGTTTTTAATAACGCCTTTTCACCTCTTCACATGTTACACACAAAAAATTATCGATAATTGTTTTAAATTATAGAAGCACTTACTATTAAATAAATAATTTCCTATTAAAAATATCAGTTAAAAATTAGTGCACTGTACATTTTTTCAGAATAATCTTTTTGGACAGAAATAATCATTTTCACAAACGTCATTGTCAATCTTACGTGGCTGACACAATGTTGCCAACTCTTTACAATATAATGGACCTCTGCTCTCTATTAATATACAAAAATACTCTATGAAAGGCTTATCTGTATTACATATTTTACAATGAAATAAGTCTAAATGAATCTATAATAATATCATATTCGTACTGTCGTAGGGTGTACTTATATTATCATAGACAATTTATAATTTTTAAAGTTATTCCACAAGCATGTGGACAAGACTCGTATAATATTAACGTTATATCTAATATTTCAGCGTCTTATTTTAGAGCTTAGAAGAAAATATATAAAAATGTATAATTTATTAGTTATTTTAGTTATTTCTTCATCATAAATCATTGTTAAATAAATATTCGTACTGTTGACAGATCAGTGACACGTGATCAAATTTTTTTGGCATTGAATGATCATAACCTAAAAATTATACCAAGTTTGGAAGTTTTTGGTCCTTGACATTTAGGTCACTTATTAAAAATTTATTAAACAATTTTAATAAATTCTAAAGATGCCCAAGAAGAAAACAGGTCAGAGAAAAAAAGCTGAAAAACAGAAGTTAAGACAAAAAGAAATAAGAACTGCCAAAGAAAAAATTCCTTTAGCTGACCATCCTTGCAATATTTCCATGGAATGTGAAAAGTGCCATCGGTAGGTTGAATAAATTGGATTTCGATCAAGCAAAACATTATTATTTATTTATTTTAGAAAGCAGAAAAGTCGTGCATTTTGTTATTTTTGTCAAAATGTTCAAAGATTGCCAGTTTGTGCTCAGTGTGGCAAAATGAAATGTATGATAAAAACTGGAGATTGTGTAATCAAACATCCTGGAATATATACTACTGGAATGAATATGGTGGTGAGTAAACTGAAAAAATATATTTTGACCATTTTCTATGTTCTACTGGGACCATAATTTTATTTGCCATCTGGATTAGTGATGACTTCCCATTTATATTCCCCACTGATTAGGCTGGAATTTTCTGAATTCCACTCTTTTTACAAATATAATTTACATTTATATCTTTTGGCCTTCCTTCTCTATCAATTCTGGTTATTTAGCAACTTTTCAAATCAAATTATTTTTATCCTTACCATGTTTTAGCAAATTTAGGGTGTAATTAACTGTATTTTGTTAATACTTTTTGTCATAGTGTTTCCACTTGTGATGTGCATTTGTATATTAACTTTATTTTACTATGGAACTGACCTTTCAATGTTTTTTTCTTAGAACATTCTAATATATCTTTTACCTATTAAGGTATAAACTTTTCCTCAAGAGCATGTTTTCATTTTTTCAAAAAAACTGAAATTCCTAGTAACAGCTCATTTAAAAAGAATTTTTACAGGGTGCCATATGTGATTTCTGTGAAGCTTGGGTTTGCCATGGTAGAAAATGTCTTCAAACTCATGCTTGCACCTGTCCATTGCAGGAAGCAATTTGTATAGAGTGTGAGCGTGGAGTTTGGGATCATGGAGGAAGGATCTTTAAATGTTCATTTTGTACTAATTTTCTTTGTGAAGATGACCAATTTGAACACCAAGCCTCTTGTCAAGTTTTGGAGTCAGAAAATTACAAATGTAAGTATACATTTTTTTGGTTCAGTCTTGTACATTTTGATAGGTGAAAATACACTTTTTGTGTTTTAATAAGTGAAAATATTTCATTTACAATATACCTGTATATAATGTAAATTGGATATCAATAATTAGAAAAAGAGTTAATAACTGGAGGTTATTGATTGGATTGTATTAGAAATATAAAGAGTAAGTGTAACAACTAGATGCAGGTAAGAATGAAGAATTTTGTAGTAAAAACTAATGTCCTTTTCCATGGTCTGAGTTTGACAGAAAAGTAAAGTTGAATTATACCTGAAATTATTAATGATAATTATTTCTTTGGAGATAAATCTGGAGATATGTTATTAAACTTAGTAATAATTATAGAAGTTTTATAAAGATAATGAAACAAAGAGGAAGTTGAAATTATGTTAATACAAGACAATTGCAGTATCCAGACTATTTAAAGACTAGGAAGTGAAGTAACATTATAATATATACTTTATTGTAAGATGAAACAATGAGCAAAAGAATATTCTTGGATGTATCTCAATATAGATATTCCGATTTGGAGTTTTAATATCATGATAGCCAAGATTTTTGCTAACAAAAGTTCCAGTTTTGCAATTAAATATTTGAAAATAAGTAGGATTCTTATAGAAAGAGAAGATTATTTTGTGGAGGTGACATTACCTGAAAAAAATCCAAGACTATCATCGTGAAGGATAAAAAATCTACTATTTAGACAAAACTTGGCAAAAAAGAGGCTGTACTGTCTCAAATGTGTGGAAAAATTTAAAGTCAGAAACTGCTGACAAGCCCCCATTGAAGGGTTATAGGCAGTGATTCGGTTGTTTGGATAGCCAATGACCATCATGAAGAAATGGATGCCTAAAAATTTGAAGGTTGCTTTTCAACGATTTTATTAAACCGTAAACCAAATTCTGTCATTATTATGGACCACAGTTGACAATTTGTGCCATAACCAATAACTGCAGACAGAAAAGTGACATGAACTGCCTCTCTCAAAGAAATATATCATTTGATGACAATGTGTTGAAAGTATAATTTTTAAATCTTACCCACTGGTGATGTGAAAGGTCTGCTAGCTACTGCTATAGAAAACATCACACTAAACTCATCGAAAAATTTGATTACACACTAAAGTGGATGTTTCCGTTGAACCTTTAATTATCAGTTTAACTAATATAGTGGTTGAAATAGTTCTTCATAATCCGACAAGTTTTCTTCAGATGATAGTTAATATTTTGACATTTTGTGAATGTCAAACTATTTTGTCTATAATGCCTCATATAGTTATAGGTAAATTAATTTGGTTTACATACATGTCAAATTAAAATACTTACATCTTCAATAGCTCCTACATACTAATTTTTAAAAGCTAAATAAGCTTACGTAATTATGTTTCAAATACATACAAAAACATAAATTTGGTACAAATTTTTTAGTACATATCAATTTTTAAAATTCACTTAACAATGTAAACGATAGGCTTCTGTGTGCACAGGGAACATTCAGACTGAGTGATATATATCTCTCTAACTTGAGGCTTCAATTATCTACCGGCCATCATTGTCATGTTTTATGAGAAACTTTAAGAAGTCCTTATTCTATGACTGTTTGACTGTAGTGTAAATTATTAAGATAGGAGTTGACAAATTATCTATAATCACAACCTGGCAGTGTTGTTATTAAAACTCAATTATCATTTCCAGAATTTAGGAAAAGGAGGTTGATGATAAGATAGTCATTGACCAAAATTTCTACTTTTACATATTCCGATTTTTGTTGTTCATGTATTAATTTTATAATTTTTCTTGTTTCAGGCCAATCTTGCAACAAACTGGGACAATATTCTTGTCTTAGATGTAAAACTTGTTATTGCGAAGATCATGTTCGTAGGAAAGGATTTAAATATGAAAAGAATAAAGCAATACCATGTCCCAAATGTGGCTTTGAAACATCTCAAACTAAGGATCTTAGTATGTCCAGTAAGTTTCTTCCTCTTTTACTATTATCTAATGGTAAATTCATATCAAGGCATCAGTAATTGCTATTATATTTTAAACCCCTTTTATAGTCTGGCTCTCATTAGCGCATCAATATAAAACATAGATCAATATATAACATCTAGTGCAGGATTTACATATAGCAAATCATGTGCTCAAGACATACAGAACATCAAAAATGAATCTATAGAAATATCTTTCTGCAGTTTAATAAAATCTTTGTATATCTCTGTATTGCTTGAAAGTTTCTGGGTTGTGGCCAACATTCTTAGCTGTGAAGTTTCCTTTAACCCTTGAGAATCCAGTGAAATCCCTTGAAATGCTATATACGGCCCATCCTGGTGTACCCGACCTGGGACATATTCACTTAAAGTGAGATCTATCTGAATCATGTGGAGGCTTTGGAAATGTGGTCTCTCAGAAGGCTGCATAGAATTCCATGGGTAGATTATGTAACAAATGATGAGTTTCTAAGAATAGCTTATCTCCAAAGAGAATTTTTAGATCTCATTAAGCAGCAAAAAATTTAATATTTGGGCCATATTCTATAAAAAAGCAAATTTAATCTTCAAATGTCATCTTGATGGGTAAAGTTAAAGGTCAGAGGCCCTGGACAAAAGCAAAATTCATGGTTCAGAGATATAAGAAACTGGTGTGGCATACCTGATGTCAATACAATATTAAGCAAAGGGGAAGAAGGATCTCTGTACATTTGACAATTAGCATGAATGCCTACAACTGCATAGCGTACATCATCCAAAGAAGAATGAAAGAGAAATTTTTTTGTCTTCTAAAAGATTATTAGATGTTCAGTTACTCCAGAAATGGAGAAAAATCAGATTCGTTTCATTTCTGATGCTATTGGATAATGTTTTGAATAACTAATCAGTTTGTTTATACATATACAACCATTAGTATATGAGTATTATGAGATGTTTTTGAATATATTTTTCTCCTGTTATTTTGACTTTTTGTACTTTTATTTTTCTTCTGATTTAGGTTAATTTCATTTTTTTTATTATTGATTGATTTTTTTTAAGTCCTTTACACATATCAGCACATAACATGTGCTTATTTGCACCTGTGTTATTATTATTTCCAAATAATATAAATCATGATTTTCAATATTATAATTGGTTTATATTTTTCCTTTTTATTTACTTACAAAATATTAGTTTTTGATGCCTTCGCTTTCATTATTCCAAACGGAAATTATTATGGTATTAAAAATCTATATTTTCAGCACGTAGTCACAAATTTGGAAGGCAAGGTCAATCATCTGCTTACGATGATTATGATGATGAAGCTGGAGCAGGTGATTATGATGATCAGGATTATAATGATTACGATTATGATGACGACGACGACGATGATGATGACGATGATGAAAGCACTGAGGAGTCTTCCGAAGAAGACAGTGATGATAACAATGTTAGTAAAGATGACAAATAACTTTGATAATAATATATTTATATATTATACTTACTTGCATAATCAATAAATATATAAAATATTTTTTGTATTAATTCAAGTTTATTTATTATTGTAGCTTGTTAATATGGATCACTTAATATTTATTTCATTTGGTCTGTTTTCTTGTACAAATTTATTAGTTATCACAAAATTTCATGTCACATGACACAATGTTGTTGTTTTTTATTAGTAAAACTCCACTCAAGGGGTGTCTTTAATACTTAAATCTCGACATATTTCTCGCTCTTAGTTGAGGGCTTAAGCCAAAATAACAGCGATTAGCCACGCATATTCCTTTTCTCATTTCTTTGGATGTGTTGTTTTTGCAGTCAACCAGTGACCCCAAGTAGCAGAACTCTTCCACTGTTTCTATAGCTTCGTGTTGCACCTCTATTACTATTTTGTTGCATTATTGATGTAGCCGGCATATATTTAGTTTTCTGGAGTTAATCAGAAGTCCGATATTTTTCTGCGGTTTTTTTAATACATGTGAAAGGTTCAAATGTTTCATTTTGGTTTTTTTAATGATCAAGCTCTTTGCGAAGAATCCCGGGAGGAATGCCTAAATTTTCAAATACAACTTTAAGATTGCAACATGGAACGTTAGAAGTCCTGTTCGAAACAGGAAAACTAGCAATGCAAGCCACGAAATGAAACGTTTAGGGTTGCAGATATCGGTTTGAGTGAAGTTAAATGGCCAGGTTTCAGGTAACAGTTAAAACCATGAACAAAACTATTCTATTACTCGGGTAATAACGATCCGGTTCATCGTAACGGGGTTGTGGTAATTTTAGAAGACAAATAATAACATGGCCGTCACAAACTTTGTGCCATATATTCTGAGGACCGAATGTCCTTCTTATACAACTATCCGGAAAGCCAGTAAATATTAACATCATTCAAACTATGCCCTACTGGCCCGATAAACCCATAGAAGAGAGCTAGAAGCGTGTATGATGCAGACGTAGAAAAACAATAATAAAGATGACCAAAAAACGAGACCTAACATTTATCTTAGGTGACTTTAATGCTAAGTTAGGTAGAGGAAAAGTTTCTGGATTGATCGGAAACTTCGGACTTGGACAAGGAACGACAGGGGAGAGAGAATGACCGAATTTCTGCCCAACAACACAACATGGTAGTGACAATACATGGTTTTAAATTACACCCTCGCAGATTGTACACTTGGACTTCACCACAACACAATGAAAACAGAGTAATCCGTAACCAAATAGATTACATATTGGTCAACAAAAGATATCACAATGCAATCATCAGTGCAAAAACATATCCTGGAACTGACATCAATTCCGATCATAATCCTGTTTGTTGCAAAAGTTCGCGCAAGATGGAAACTAATAAAGAAACAAAAACCTCAACACCAACTATTAGACATCCAAATTATTGAAAAACGACACCATACATCAGACAGTAAATAAAGAATTAAACAAAAATTTAGGAAATATCGACCACAATAGAATTAGCGAGTACGATGACATAAACGTTCTGTGGAAAACTATTAAAGAACAAATGAACAATGTAACGGAAAAACATCTAAAAGTAACACCTAGAAATAACAAACAGGAATGGATGACAGAAGAGATTTTACAATTAATGAACAAACGAAGAGAATCTAAAGGAAAAAATGACAAGGACGGAGAATACAAAAGACTAAATAGAATAATTCGAAAAAAAAATAACCGAAGCAAAAGAGAAATGGCTGGAAACAAAATGCGTTGAAATAGAAGAACTGCAACAAAGGCACGATTTTTTTAATTTACATAAAAAGGTAAAAGAGTTTACATCGACTACCAAGAGAACGACTTTTCACACCATGCTGAACACGGATGACAAACTGCTAGAATCAACGGAAGATAAACTGAAAGAATGGGAAAACTATATTAAAATTCTTTTTCACGACATACGAGAAGAACCAAGATTGGAAAATAACAACGAAGGGCCAACAATTCTGAAATCTGAAATCATAAATGCAATTAATCATCTCAAAACAAATAAAAGCCCAGGTCCAGACGGAATATACCCAGAAACGTTCAAATTAATCAGCGAAGAAAATATCGAATTATTTGTCCTTTTATTCAATCGCATTTATGATACAGGTAAAATACCCCAAGATTGGCTGGAGTCAATATTCATCCCACTACCAAAAAAGCCAAACCCACAACACTGCAATGAGTTCCGTCTGATAAGCCTTATGAGTCATGCAGTAAAAGTCCTACTAAAAATCGTACATAATCGTATCTATAGAAAGTGCGAAACAATCATCGGAGACGATCAGTTTGGATTCAGAGCCGGCATGGGAACGAGAGAAGCCCTGTTCAGTTTACTAGTTCTCGCCCAAAAATGCTACGACCAACAGAAAGATATATTTATATGCTTTATAGACTTCGAAAAAGCATTTGATAGAGTAAGACACGACCTACTATTAGAACGTTTGCAAGAAGTCGGTTTAGATGGAAAAGACATCAAATTCTTAAAAAACTTGTACTGGAACCAAAACGCCAGAGTTAGGATCGAAGGTTCCACATCCGCAGAAGTAGAAATTAGGAGGGGAGTTAGACAAGGATGTGTTCTGTCGCCTCTGCTGTTTAATCTTTACTCCGAGTTTCTATTTAAAGAAGCATTGGAGGATTCCAAGGATGGAGTCAAGGTGAATGGCGTAAATATCAACAGTATCAGATACGCCGATGATACAGTGTTAATTGCGGATTCCGACTCAGGTCTACAACGACTCATCGACAAGACCAACTCGACCTGTGAGCAATTTGGTATGAAAATAAACATTAAAAAAACCCAAAGTGATGTCAATCCGAAAAAACCAAAACGTACCTCAACCTTGCACAATAAATGGGCACATCTTAGAACAGGTCAATAGATTTAAGTACCTGGGATGTTGGATCGATAGCAGCCTAAATCCTGATCAAGAAATATGATCGAGAATAGAACAGGCTAGAAAATCTTTCGAAAAATAAAAAAACTGCTTTGTGATTCTCGAATAAAACTCGAAATTCGACTACGTTTATCAAAATGCTACGTCTGGTCGACTCTTCTATATGCAGTTGAAACGTGGACCCTTAAAACATCAACCGTAAATAAATTGGAGGCCTTTGAAATGTGGATCTACCGGAGAATACTCAAAATTTCATGGACATCGCATACCTCAAACGAAGAAGTGCTGCATAGAATAGGCAAGGAAAGAGAACTTTTTAACACAGTAAAAGTTAGAAAAACATCATACCTAGGCCACATACTGAGAAATAATAAGTACCAATATGCCCAACTTATAGTGAAAGGAAAAATCGAGGAAAGAGAGGCCTAGGAAGGAAAAGACTATCATGGCTCAGAAACATCCGACAATGGACAGGCTAAATTTTGAACAGCTAATAAGAACAGCTGAAGATAGAGAAGAGTTTAAAATTGTAGTAGCCAACCTCCATTGAGGAGAGGCACTTTAAGAAGAAGAATGATCTTCTGGCATGGAGATTGTCAATTTATTTGCTGAAATCTTTTTGTCCATAAACCTTAAATAGTGTTCTTAAAGATTTTGATTTTGCCAGGGATGGAAATTTCCTTTTTAACAGGTAGATTTTTTCCAAAAACTATTCACAATGTTTGGCCTTTTCTATTTCGAATCTTGTCTTTTATTACATGGAAAAACTATTCCTCCAATTGTTTGGGATAAAGGCCAGCCAAAGGAATAAAAAATGGGGCCATAGGGGGTCCCGATGGGTCTTCCCTTCCTTTACCTTCTTTTCTTAAAACCACATTCTAGTTTCTTTTTTACCTATTTCTTGACCTTTTTCGTATCCTTTTTTTTTTAACACCTGGTCTTGAAATGGTAAACAGGGGATTATGTTCCTTGAGGGGGGTCTACTGGGAAAAAAACTAAGCCCTGTATTTAACACCCTATTTACCCCAATACAAATCTTTTGGGAGGATTTTAAATTTCTGCAAGTGGGGGAATTCAAAAATTTTATCGGGGCCTTATTTAGCATTCTAAGTTTGTATTCACCCAAAGTTTTTGAGGGAAGCCTTCTTTTGTCTCTTGTGGGGGGGACTATTTTTGTCAGCACTTAAACTTTAAAAAGGGGGCTGTGTTTTAAATTATTTTTCACTAAAATTTTGGTTTCTGTAAAACCTGATATATCTATTCCACCTGGTTCGTTTTGTCTCTGTTTCGGATTTGCTCCTCTAGTTGTAGCAAATATCCTCTGGGATAGAAAGCTTTTTTAAAATATTCGCTGAAATCTGTCCATGACTTCCAATTTTTGTTATTGTTTCTGTACCATAATAATGCGTGGTCTCCTAATAATTCTGGTAATGCTCTTAGTAGATCTAGTTTTATCGATCTCGTAGGTTAAGCTTAATTCGTCTATCTCTCTCTAAGAATTATATTTTCATCCGAATGTTTCTTGTCGAAAGTGTGTGTTCCACTTTCGTACTTGATTTAGCAATTCTGATTGCCCCATTTGTTTCGTTATTGTTAATTCCTGTAATTGTCTTCGGATGACCGAAATTTCCTGGGTCAGTGTGTCGGATTCTGCTCCCTTGGAAGTTTTTTCTTTTCTGATTCCTGGGATTGTTCCTGTCGCTTTGCGACAGCGTGCTAGGTTGAACTAGGTGCTAGATAGCTGTTGAATGCTAGGTTGAACAGCGTGCTAGATAGCTGTTCAGTGCAGTTCTCTGTTAGTTGTAAATGGATCTGAAAGATCCCTTTGTACTAGTACTTTAAATTCAACTTTCCCCATTTTCATTTTAATTAATTCTACCAATGCTTTTGGTATTCCAAATTCGATCATAGCCGAATATAATTGGGGTCTGTTAACAGTATCATACGCTGCCTTAAAATCTATGAAGATGCAGTGGCAGTCTGTGTTGTAGTCCGTCGTTTTTTATATTTGTCTGATGGATGATATGTGATAAATGGTAGATCCGTTTTTCAAATAACCTCTTTGTTAGGATCCTATTAAGTTGTCAGTATATTGTGACAATTATTCGTTAAGTATGTTAAAGGGACAACATTTTGTATGTCATATTAAGAAGGGAAATCCCTCCAAAGTTGGAACAGTCAAGCACGTTTCCTTTTTTGTGTATAGGGCATATAATTCCAATCTTCTAGTAAAGCGCGTTCTTGCCATACCTGTATTAATAGTTTATCAAAGGGGGTTACAATTGTTTAACCGCCACATTTTAAATATTTCTGCGGATAGGTTATCTGCTCCGGATGACTTGTTTCTGGCTAGAGACTGAATGGCTTTATTTATTTCTTCCAAAATTGGTAGGTCAGATTCCTCCTGTTCTAGTTCTATATCATATCTACCTTCAGCTCTACTTTCTCCATTGAGTAGCGTACTAAAGTGTTCCTGTCATCTCTTAATTTTTATGAGTGATTTTGTTAATTTTATCGATATTGTGGCAATAACTAGGTTTTGGTTAAATCCAGTGTAAGCTCCGGGGTAAATGACAATTACACAAATAAATAGACACATACTATTAAGTTTATTTTTATTAAAACTAGTGAATATTTAAACGGACGATTTTTAAATATAATAAAAAAGTACTTATTCTTATCTAAAAATAAGATTACAGGCACTCAGTATAAATAAAAGCTGGATAAAGATAGGTAGGTGTATCACTATTAGGTCGACTTCAGAATTAAACAATATTACATCAGGTTAATAGTGTCAACAACATATCTTTTGCCAAGAATTAACGTTCGAGAAGTCTTAAAAACAGATATAATTAAAGTCAAATTAAAACGATATATGAACGACTAAAATGTTATGTCTATCACAAAGTTAGAGAAAAATAAATATGCTACACATGAGTCATGGTATAAGAGTTGAATTACATCAATTTCTGTTATATATCTGTTCTACATATTAATGGGAAATTTTTGCATGTATCTAATGTAATAGGACGTTATACTGCTAATACACAATTTATTCTGGGAGTTCTATATTTTTTCCTACTTTTACTTGATCGAAGAGCTGATTCCACATATTCAGCCTTTCTTTCCAATAGTCCGGACCTTTCCGGGTTGGGTCCGTATGAGAAATTGCTAACTCTGTTTTTTCTTGGATGTGCTCATTAACTTTTTCTGAAAAAAAAAAATTTTACTTTAATATCCGTTATAATTTTAAACAGTACAAGACTAGATTACGGTATAATACGCAGGAATACTTTTAAAATATTGCAAAAATGAAAAACAAGTTAAACTTACTATAATGGAAAAAGTTGATCTTTATATAATAGACTAAGTATACAAACAATTTTACATAACCAACTGTGAGAAACAACAGAGATATAAAAGGGAACTGCAAATTCAGATAGCAAACAAATAAACAATGTAAAGAGGAGAGTAACATACTAGTAGAGTGTTTTTAAAGATCCTCTAGGACATAACTTTTATGCATTTAACACCAAAGGTATTATTTTTACTTTGTGGATAAAAGATCCAAGTGTATTTAGGATTAATATCATCTTTTGATAATACATTACTTTGTAAGGATACTATTTACAAAAATATTAATTTTAAGTGTTAAATTAGAGTTTCTGTAAAGTTGTCAATTTTAAGATTTCTTATAACATTCTAATAAAATTATTAATTTAATTGAATTGTTCTCAAACTGGTAAATGTTAAGTATATCCTTTATGCACATGTCTTCTATAATTATACCTTAATATATTTCAAAAGGTACAATTAGTTGATTTAAGTGCCTTGTCACCAAAAAGAATCTTAATAATTAGAAATATTCTTGCCAAATGTGGTGAGTTTACTTTGAGCAAAAAAATAAATTATATTTTGATTTAAGCTCTGCGCAGAAGACCAAGAAAATGATAATGATGCCCCAGCACGTCAATAACCAATGAAAACGTAGAAGAAGTGAAGAAAATTATTATGGAGAATCACCATTAGAATCTGAATGGGCCATAATATATTACGATTATTTCTCTTCCAACTGTTGAACTGCCTAGTAAAAAGAAAAACAAAAATTCCAACATTCCCCATTGCCCATTTTTTAGAGAAGTAATATTTCAATCTCGACTTACCACTAATAGCAGTTTTACTACTTTTCCTAGAATCTTCTATCTCTTTAAGGCCATTTCTAATATAATCTTGGAAAAATTTGCTCGAGTTCGATAAGAACGGCTCGATGTCTGCTTCGGGATGATGTTGCATAAAATCATATAGCAAATTCAATCCTTCTTTAGTTTCATCCTTGCTACCGATTTTCTGGAAAATATCTGTTAGCATTTTGTGATTTGCTCTAGAAAGCGATCTCCTTTGGGCGTCTTGCTTCGCTGGTAGATGCTGAACTTCGGATATTTTTAAACTCTAAAAATAAAACAAAAGTATTACAGATATCTACAGAAAACCAACTCACACAAATATATTTAAATTATCACTCAAACCACAACATAAATCTCATAAATCCATTATACTATCTGCTACAACAAACTACATTCCACGAAGAAAAAAACCTGCTAAAAAAGGTTTTAACCAAGGAAAAATCAGAAAAATTAGGAAATAAATACAATATTACACTATCATTCAAAACATCCAACACACTGAGATCTGTTATATCCAAAACCAAATTAAATAACCCAGAGGAGGGATCAAAATATCTTGTGAATGCAACCAGTCTTATGTGGGAGAAAACTCACGATCACTAAGTGTGTGTCACTCTTATACGGTGTCGATGGACACCGTATAAGAGGACAGATGGACATTGAAAATCCACCATTAATCGTCTAGAGGCATTGAATATGGCTGCACAGACGTATACTAAAAATTCCATGGACGGCTATGCTGACAAATGTGGCAGTCTTGAGAGAGTCAATGCTGCTCGCGAGCTGCTTGATAACATCAAATGTAGAAAGATGGCCTATTTTGGACACGTATAAGGGGAGACCGATATAATATTCTTCAACTTATTATGATGGGTAAAATCGATGGACGCAGAGGATTGGTAGAAGCAGGCCTTTGGTGAAGAATATCAGGGAGTGGATAGGAATAAAGAAAGCTGAGCAACTATTTAGAATAGCTCGAGACAGAGACAGTTTCGCCATGTTAATCGCCAACGTCAAGGGGACTTGATAGGACACGTTAAGAAGAAGAAGGTTTTCCCATCTAATGATTATGTTCTTTTGAGAATTTTTTTAAATTGAAAAGTGAGTGAATGCTTTGAAAGATCATTTTCTTGCAAAATCCATTCGCAAAGCTGGTTTATAACATAAAACACATTCAGCTTTAAAACGTCGTTTTAACGCTGAAATAACAATTAACAATTAGAAACTTACCTTGAGTATTCTTAATATATACGATTCAACTTCTGATTCACTAGTGTTCGGTATCTTCCCCAAATGTAACATTATGGTACCTCCCTTAATCTTTGCACTAGAATGGAGAATAGTTTTAACAGTTCTGAGTGGTGTATCGACTTCTTTATTTTTCCACCACGATGAGGGGAACTTCTTCAAGAAATTATGTACTTCTAATAATACAGAATCATAGTCTATAGTATCGCCCCATTGCGGCATTAACTTTATCACTCTCCAAAGACATTTCATTACGAGGTCCACGTGTCTTGCGGAACTTTCATTACTAATGCACTCGTTTATGAGTTTTACCAAAGCACTAAAAAAAAAGTAATTATACATTCTAATTCAATGTAAAAATGACGAAATACGTGATAAAATCAGATCAGTAATAACTTAAAAATACAATAATATTCCACATAACTTTCATTCCGCATTCAGAAGATTATACAAGTCACACATTTCGACGTACTGTATAGTGACATAAAGTCAACATTACACTATCGAACGATGATATAAGATCAACAAATTACTGTTATACTATATTTATATATATATTACAGAAATAAATATAGTAATTAATAGATCCATAATTCATTATATATTTTTATTATATTGTATACTATTTTTCAAAGTAAAACGTTGCACGTCACAATTTATATAAAGTGACGTCACTTATATTAAAATTTCTAAAACGTCAACCTTAGAATTCAAATGTTCCTAACACAGCTAATAATACGAAACCCATACGGAACTGCCCGATCTTTCATAGACGTCAACATGGTATAATAATCAGAAAAATGTAATCATGATTATATTGGGAATTTTAGAATTATATTGATTAAATAACCAAAAACATTTTTTGTTATTATTAATAATATAAATTTTATGAAATAACTCTTTGAAGTCTAATATTCCACAAAATAATAATTTTAATTAAATAGATTAGACAATTGTACGCAACTGATATGGTAATACTTCAAATTTCAATGACAGTTCAGCGTTTGGCAAAATTGTTTAAAGTGTTGCCGCTTTTTAAGAGTAAGAATTTCTGATGTTTTGGCAACGCTGTGGGGTTCTGACGTCGTAAATCTTAAATGACGTGCAATCATTTTTATATGAAAAATTCTATATAAAACGTATCCTAATGTATAAAACTCACCATATCGTATTTGTGTGGTCAGATCTCTCAATCACTTTGACGCAATGCAGATTAATTACTCTTACGTACGCTTCTCCATTGAGTACTTTAGTTAACCGTTCTTCAACTAGTAAAGTAATCATTTGATGCATAAGCTCTTTAATAACGGGAATTGAAACTCGGCTTCCTAGTGTTTATTTATGTAGAACTGCAAAAGAATAAGAATTTAGGTAATATATCCCAACATAAAACTTTGAATTTGTAGTAGATTCGTAGTTAGTTGATATGGCATACCGAAGACAAACGAAGTTACACGTTCCCTGTAAGAGTTACAACCAGTACTTACAGGAAAACCATTAAGATTATCATTAGGATAACTTATTTTCTTATTAAAAAGGATACTCTTTCCATTTAATACCGATTTCTTCTTCTTCTACGGCACTACAGCCCAAAATGAGCCTTGGCCTCCTTTATTTATTGCCTCCACCCTTGTCTGTCTGTGGCTGCTCTTCTCCATACACGGACTCCTAAAAGTGCTTGTGCGTCGCTGCTTACTGTGTTTCCAGCGCTTTCTTGGCTTTCCAAATGGTCTCTTTCCCTGCATTCTGGCGTTCAGTGCTCGTTTTGGTAGCCTATCCTCTCCCATTCGTATCACATGTCCGGCCCATTGCAATCTTTGTATTCTAATGAAGTTTGACAGGGGTGTTTCCTTATACAGTTGATAGAGCTCGTTGTTATATCGAATTCTGAAGATTCCGTTTTCCCTCACAGGTCCTAGTATTCTCCTCAGTACTTTTCTTTCGAATGTGTCGAGTTTGTTTTTGGATGTTTCTTTCAGGACCCATGCTTCGCTGCCATAACATGCTATTGGCCGAATTAAAGTTTTATATATTCTCATCTTTGTATTTCGGTGGACACTTTTAGACCGAAATATATGGGAGAGGGCAAAATAAGCTTTGTTTGCCTGCGTTATCCTTTTTCGTATTTCTCCATCCTCTGCTCCATCGGCATATATTTCTACTCCCAGGTATGTAAACTTTCCAACCGTTTCAATGTCATCTTCATGTATAATGTTTTGTGGGATTATATTTCTTCTCGTCTGTACCATTATTTTTGTTTTTTCTGTGTTAATTTCCAGACCTAGCCTTTTCGTTTGTGTTTTTAACTCTGCGTATGCTTCCTGTGCTCCTGTTGATGTTCTACTCATAATATTAATATCATCGGCGTAGGCAGCCAGTTGAACCGTTTTATTGGTCAGTAGGTTTTCTCGTCCAGTTTGCATTTGCCTGACCGCATACTCCAGTGCCAGGTTAAACAATGTTGGTGCCAGCCCATCTCCCTGCTTTAGTCCCTGCGAGATTTTGAAAAAGTCTGTCCGGTTGTTTTGTATTCGTACACATGCCTGAGTTTCATCCATTGTGGCTTTAATGAGTCTAATTAGCTTATGTGGTATTGCTAATTCTGCCAATATATAGTATAGTCTGTCCCTTTTGACTGAATCGTATGCCTGTTTGAAGTTAACAAACACGTTGTGAACATCAATGTCGTGTTCCCACGATTTGCTCAAGACCTGCTTGACTGTAAATATTTGATCCATTGTCGATCTTCCCCGTCTGAAGCCCGTCTGATATTCTCCAATAATATTTTCTGCTAGTGGTTGGAGTCGCTGGTTTATAATATACGTGAGGACTTTATACGCTGTACATAGTAGAGAAATTCCACGGTAGTTTTTGCATTGGAGTTTGTCTCCTTTTTTTATAGATTGGGCATACTATACTTTTCTTCCATTCGTCGGGTATTTTCTCTTCTTGCCATATTTCTTTGATAAGCGCGTGGATATGACTTGATAGGTGGTTGCCACCTACCTTATACAGTTCTGCTGGAATCTCGTCAACTCCCGGGGCTTTATTGTTTTTCTGGGCCTTAATAGCTTCGAGAACTTCCTCTATGGTTGGAGCTTCTACTTCAACTTCGTTCTCTTCTACATGGTTCGTACCCATTTCATCTTCCATATCTACTTGTGTTCCAAGTAGGGTCTGAAAATAATGCTTCCAGGTTTTCTGTGACTTTCTGTTGGTCACTGATTATTTGCCCACTTTCATCTTTGCATAGGCTTGTTTGAGGTTTATATCCACTTTTTATCTTTTTTAGGTATTCGTAAGCTCCTCTAATTTCGTTTTTTTTTTGAAATTTTGTTCCATTTCTTCTATTTGTCCATTTTCATAAGCTCTCTTTTTGTTTCTGCATATCTTGTCTGCTTTCCGTCTTGCGACTTCAAATGATGTTCGTCTTTCCCGTGTTCTTCTTGTTATGTACATTTTGTGCGCTTCGTTTCTTTCTTCTATCGCTTGCCTGCACTCGTCATCAAACCATGTTCCTCTTCTCTTCTTTTTCTTGTTTCCCACGGTGGACGCTGCTGCTGTCAGCACTGCTGTTTTGATATTATTCCATTTGCTCTCTATGGAGTGCAGTTCTTGTTGTCCTTAGCTCATTTGTGACTTCTTGCTCGAACTTCTCTCTACATTCCTGAGTCTTCAGTTTTTCCAGGTCTAGTTTGTTTGTTCTTTGTTGTCTTTCGTTTCTTTCTCTGTTTAACTCTGCACCTAAATTTGGTTTGCAGTAAAAGATGGTCTGATCCACAGCATGCTCCTCGTCGTGTTCTCACATCAGAGATACTACTGGCTGCCCTTTTGTCTATCATCACATGGTCAATTTGATTGGTTGTGGTTCCATCTGGTGAGAGTCACGTCATTTTGTGTATGTCTTTATGTGGGAAGCATGTGGAGCTTATAACCATTTTTTACTGGTGGCAAAATTTATCAAAAACTCCCATTCTCGGCTGTTTCATTGTGCAGTGATGTTTTCTGTTGTATTTAATACCGATTATATAATTACGGATAAAATACTTGTCTCACTCTGGCCTTCCATCGAGTTTAGATTCAAACTCGATGCTGCCTCCCTATATAAATTACCGGTATTTAAAGGAAAACCATTGTCATTAGGACAATTATTTTCAAATTAACAGGTAAACTGCCAGGCCTTTTTCTCATAACTCAAAATATTGTGTATATCTACCCAATTGGGTATACAACAATGATTTGTTAATTAAATTAGTAAGAAGACATCTTCGGATGAAATCGAAAAATATGGCCTGGAATAATATAACAGACCTCTATACTACGTTTTGACCTGATTCATAGGCAAAAAGAAAATATAATCCGCATTACCAAAAAAAAGAACATTAATTTAAAAGGAGTGTGTACACCCATATGGGTGGAAAGTAAAAAACTTTATTTTACTGTAGAACGTGTTTGACGGTTAGTATCGTTTAGCAGAATATTATTTGTTTATATATTTATTTATAACTAAAATACAACCATTGTAGCCATTGGAAAAAATGTTAACTATAATCGAATTAGAAGAAATAGCAATGAGAATACGAGAGTATAACGATGAAGAGCCATTTCAAAAATGAGAGTGTGAGTTTGTAGCCAATGGTTCTGACCAATATTATTCACCAGAAAATGACCAAAATGTTGAAAATATAAATAACAATACCCAAAGTGATACTCATTTATCTGAAGTGAAGGAAAATGTTTGGGTAATGCCACACATGAACAGCGAAGTGAACTTAGATATAATCAACAGAAATTTCTTTAACAAGCTAGGAAAAAAATAACAGATCGACTATAAAACTCATTGATTATGTTCAATTAATTATATCTGAGGATAAAATTGAATGGGAGGATAAACAAAAATGCTCAATTATTTTTACAAAATAATACTGTAAGAAGAAGTGGTAGGTATAAAGAATTGAAAAATACAAATATCGAAGAAATGAAAATATTCGTAAGTCTTAGGATATGGATGGGGGTGGTACATATACCATTGATCCAATCATATTGGTCTAATAAAAAATGTCATAAAACATTAAATGTTGTTTAATTTTGGCATTTCAGGAAGATATCGAAGGTAACACATTGTGCAAGATTCGACCACTACTCTATTTGATACAAGAAAAATTTCAACAAATCATAACATAAGTCAACGCTTTTTGCAATATATGCCTAGATAAAACATTTTCAAGTTTTCGAGTGTTTCGAAAATGTTCAAAATAAAAGTTAACGGCCAACCAATTAATAATATTAGATACGCAGATGATACGGTTTTAATGACGAAGACAGTAGAAGACCTGCAAGTCATTTTAAACAAGGTAGTCACAGCTAGTGAAGAGAAAGTGTTAACAATGAATTAATTACTATTTAACTGGGAATAAGCCACAATTAAAGGTTAAAATACGTTTATTGACGTTTCAATTTCCACTTCGAAAATCGTTCTCAAAATACAAACAGTAAATTTAATTGTGGCTTATTCCCAGTTAAATAGTAATTAATTTAAAATGATTCAAGAAAATAGCATTAGAACAATATTAACAATGAATGTCAAGAAGACGAAATTCATGATTATTTCAAAAAAACAACAAAGATTGAATAGCAAACCTGTACAATTCCCAATAACGAAATCGCAATGCATACGCGTGCATAAATATAAATATTTGGGAACAAGTGTTAATAACAACAATGATATCACAGAAGAAATAAAAACTAGAATTGGAAAGGCTCGAGCTGCTTTTGTTAATATGACGGACATTCTGGGAAGTCCATGACATTAACTTAAAACTGAAAATGAGATGGTTAGATGCTACATCTTTTCGATACTGTTGTACGAGTAGAGATTTGGACTTAAACAAGAGCAAATACCGATAAATTACGAGTGCTCGAAATGCGGATATATAGAAGACTTTTGCATATACCTTGGACAGACAAAATAACAAATAGTGTAGTTCTTCGAAGATGAACAAAGAACGGGAGCTGTTGATCTCCATCAAGAGAAGAAAGTTGGAATATCTTGGTCATGTACGTATATCTTGGCTGCGCAATTTAAGAGACTGGTTCGCAATTTAAGAACAATGATTATTGCCAAACTCCGGAGCGAGAGAGGGCACTTGAAGAAGAAAGGAAATACTGATAATTATCTGGACATCCAATTTTTTTTGTTGCTATCTACTACAAGTATTAGAAATGAATAAAGCACTGAAAAAAGGCTGCGAGAATAATATCTATGAAAAAAATACTAAACGTTTGCTAAAGCAAAAGATAACACCACTATTTTAATGTAAAAAGTAAAAAATTTTGAACTAAAACACATTTTTTTTCATTTATGGAAAACTATCAAAAATGAACATAACAACTTTACCATCTCATATCTTCAATTGACATCTCAAAATGACAAATTAATTTCTGGATTACATCAATTCATCCTATCTTTCCCAAATATTTTTTACATATAAATCGTCTAGTATTATTCAATTTTATATCCAAGCCAAAAATTAGTTATCCAAAAATCATATTATCGATTAATTTTGTATTATTAGTTATTAACAGTTTCAAGAAATATTAGTAGAATGTCTAACAGGTCTACATTTAAAATAATCTATTAGATTTACTTACAGCGTCTATGATAGTGAGTAAATTTCTATATATCTTTATTGCGAAGGAATCTGGAGTAAGTGGTAAACCTTGCAATTGTTTAAACTGGAGAATTATTGTATTCATGAAGTCATCTTCATAGTCAATCATCGTGCTGCCCCTCATTTGAGTGAGTATTTCATGCAATTGGGTCATTCCCTAAAAAGACGGAAATATATTAAATACAAATATCTTTTACAACTTTTTTAGAAGTATATCAAGATTTATGAAAAAGTTTACACACCGCTAACGCAGCAGTATGGTTTGTAGAACCCATCTGTTTAAGTAATCTCTCGATCACTGGGTCTTGTTTTTTGGGACTGGGAGAATTACCCAGACCAACTCTTGAAACCGCTTCCCCAAAATCTACGGGCTGTGTTCCAGCTCCAGCTCGTACTCTAAAAACGAATAAATAAATAAAATGATAGTTTTTATTTTCAAATGTCCACCAGTTAGTGGTTTAATATCTTTAAAACTATGGATAAAAGCAAAAGTAGTAGCAAAGAATATAGACGCTTATAGAAGGACAGTTCAAATTGGGCAATTTGGTTACGGTTTATACTTCAAAATACTCCATAAGAGGGTGACTGCATAAACTCAAACCGTGGCCATCGGCTTAAAACTATCATGAAAGATGTAGTTAGGGGAAGTGGGAAGGGAGTACGAACGGAGCTATTTATTTAACATGCATCTACGCCTAATCAAATTTCGATGCCATTGATTTGGAAACTGTCGTTTTTTGTTTTTTTTTTAACAATAAAATCTTATTTTTCATATATTAAATTGTTAAAATTTTAATTTTAAAACTTAAAAAAGGTATGATATTTACAATGTTCAAAGTATTTTTTTTTATTAAATGTTCATAAAATTTTATAACTTTGAATTAAAAATAGGTTTGTTCCAACACTACGAAAAACGTCACATAACTTTTTATTATACTATTTTCCTGTCCAAAAATTTACGAAACATTAAAAAAAATTCATTTTCTGAGGACTTTTCATCAAACTTTTTAAATAATTTTCCAAATTATTTCATTGAACAATTGTCTGTTCAAAAAAGTATTCAATGAAACTTTTTACGAAATTTTGAAATTTTCCATTTCGCCCAAACTTCCAAACATCAATCTTTTAATAACAAAAAGCATTCTGATTTAGTTTTGAAATATTTAACAGTAACTTTTAATGAACAGTTATGTGAGAGTTTTTACGCTGTATAGGTACCACTATTTAATCTTGTTTTAAAATAACAATTAGTATTAAAACATGATTTTCACAATGAACAAATATTGGTGAAATTATTACAATATAGTCTGAAATTGATTTATACTTAATTGAAAATAAACTGATGACATTAATTAAAATTAAAATAAATTTTATCTATAAATTTATGACATTTACTAAAATATAATCTTCATATTAATCATCTGATTTTTTTATTTATATAATGAATGAATGAATAAATTATTGGTTTCATTTTTGAAACCAAATGTTAACTTAGTGTTTAATTACTAGATAGTATACTACCGACATATTGAACCTAGATACTACCGACATTTGTAATGTTAAAGAGATATTAAAAAACAAAAAAGTAAAATAAAAATATGAGAAATTATAAACGTTTTAAAGGTAAGAATAGTAGATAGTTTAAAAACTTTTTATGTGTAAATATTGCCTGATATGCTTCCCAATTTGTTTTAAGAGGAATACAATAAGTTTCCTTGATATGCTCATTGCCTGTCTCGATGGTCTGAGACACATCATCTAAAGCATGCAATTTTTTAACAGTTTGGTATTTGTACTGCCCCAGGTCAGATGGTAGGCATTCATATCATAGCCAATGATTAATTGCAGTTTATTTTTCATGCAATCTCTCACGAACTGTTCCAACTCCCTTGATGGCTGTTCGGTAGCATCATATGGGAGGTATGCTAATCTGAGAACTATCTCCTTCATAACTCCTCCCTCTATAACCTTTATCTTTACTGTCGTTCAGTCTGCGGAACAGAGATCACAACCAGTCCTCTGTGTTAAGGTCTTGATTTTGCCTCTTTAGACGGGTCCTGATAGTTCCTTCATCAAGTTTTTCTCGGGGACGCGGGTGAGAACCATGGGGCGCTTGGGCATATTATTTGGAACAATTATATCTAAGTCTACTCCCGCTCACAGGCCCTCAATAGTCTTCACCACTTTCACTTCAGTCGTCCATTTTTTTGTATACTCGTTAACACAGTTAAACGATGTTTTATGGAACTGCAGAAGTTCATTTTGACCTCAGATAGGAGTCTCATCAAGTATTTGCTCCAGTTTGTTAATGATCAAATTTGCTTGAGCCCGATCTAGTTGAGTATCAGGATGGTATCTGTGTGCTACCACCATTCTGAATACTTTTGTCAGGGTGCTGTATGACCTAGTCTGCTGTTAGAGCACCTTGGTTTCTTAGCAACTCTGTTACGAGGGGGTAATAGTATAAAAATAATTCTTTGGTATATGTGCTAAAAAGCAATTCTAGCGTACTATACATCTTACAATTTTTGAGCTTTCTCTCCCGGTGATTGACTTTTAATTAATTTTATTTATAGTTTATAGCGGCATCTACATATAAAAATATCTAAAGTTGCATTTGTTGCCCCACTCTTTCATATTTTAGAAGCAATAATAGCGCTGACATGACCGCTCTCTAGTGTTACTAATAAGGAACTAAAAACTTGATTCACCTTTGCTTCTTTTTTATAACGTGTGTTCAACCTTTGCCGACGCTAAAAAATAACAGTGAAAAATCCTTCTATATGCGTCTATTATTCTTTGGTAGTAGCTCTACATAAACTACATGTTGTTACAAACCCGCCTCAATATGGCCGCGGCAATTATTACGAAGGATGCCAGCACGTAACTCATTTTTCAAAATAAAAACTGACGGTTATATCCTAAATTGACCATCTTCATAAAACATCGAAATTCTTACAAACAAAAGAAATAGTTGTATTTAAAGGTTCCACTACTGTGTACTACAATACTACATGCTTACAAATATGTAAGCATGTAGTATTGTAGTACACCAATAATTTCCATATTTAAATAATTTAACAAAAATTTCATCAAATTTTGATAACAAAAAACACCCACTAACTGAAATTTTTCTATTACCGAAACTTAAAACAGACCTAATGGGTATGAAATTCATTTTACATCGATGTATGGACTTTGTAACATCCATTGACTACTTCGATCCACTGAATTTTATACTGATACAGGAATTGCCAAGAGACGGAATAGCTCTTATCACATATCACCTATATATGTAATGCTATGTTAGTTAAATCAACATGATTGTACGATATGATAATGAAATATTAACATTTTTGTTACGCTGTGGCGCAAATAACTACATATATTGAAGTGCCTTTAACATTTAAATAAAAAAAGTCTTACTTGGCTCTCGCTTCTTCGATGGTCGGGATCCTAATTTCTTCATTTAAGAAGTCAAGGTCGTATGACTTCAACGAAGGCTTCACTGGCTTTGGAGGTTTGGTTCTTTCCAGTTCTTTCATGAACTCTGGGTCTAATTTGAACGGTCCCTGAATTTCCTTAGGCGGTTCTGGTACAATCATTTGTGGCAAACTGAAATATATAATAACAGCAAGTAAAATAACAACATGTAAGTGAATCATTGTTCGTTTACGTCTCAAGTAAACATTGTTTTAATAACAGATAAAATATCAATATAAAAATGCAATCACTTTACGATTACTTCTCAAGTAGCAATGTTTTTACTTTACACAAAAGCTGTATACTTTTTATAAAAGTAAAATACAGAAAAAATTAAGAAAAAATGTTTTTTTCTTAAACAGTAAGCTGTATTTTCAAATTTCTTTTTAATATTTATTCTAGCCTTAATATTCTTAAGGACCAGAAAGAAATAATTTAAATTAACCAAATGCTCTAAGAAATATTTGTAATTTTATATGTGATGCGATACTTTTTTGGCGGAGTATATTTGCGTACTTATTGCTTTTATTTTATAAAACCAGCTAATTTATATTGTGAGCAGAATGCTCACGCACGACAAATTCTATTACTTAAATATCGACAAATGCCGTATTAAAATCTATTACAAAACCGCTTTGTCCGTTTAGAATTAATAACTGGCTTTTTACTTACTTCACTTGTGGCAACATTTCTTCCTCTATATCCTCATCTTGATCACTCTCATTATTTATATCGTTTACTACATGCGTAGCATCAAAAGAATTTCTATTAGGTGGAGTGTTTTCCTTCTGAGGAGATATTAAAGTTGTTACAACCGTGGAATTATGTTCAGCTTTAGGTAAAACCATAGTCTTCCTACTAGATCGTTTTATTCTTTCCTCTAGCAACGACATATCCTTGTCAGATATCTATAAATATATTTAAAGTATATAAGGATTAAACATTTCATGAGTGAAAAGAATATGTAAAGTAAATGATCAGATTTCTCTCACTCGAGTACTAGAGAAAAAAATTGCACAAAATCAATAAATGCCAGTTCTGTTCGTCGACATCAGGAAACCATATGACAGTGTAACTCGTTGTACCGTTGATAATTTTTATCAACGGGAATGTTATTATTTTTCGCATTTAATTTAGTATGGTAACATTATTGTACTATTTTAACGTTGGCAACAACGCCCTATCCGCCATTTCTAGACAAAATTGCGTCCTGTCAACTAGAGTGCATATGATAACCTCAAATACTGTCTGTGAACATTTGAATTCTAAACGGTTTTGACCTGAAATTTTATTGCAGAGGCGAGTGATTTATCCTTTTTTTTATTATTTTTATAGTGTATCCAATGTGTAGTGTTTTTAAAAAAGGCAAATAAAGGTAAAAAACGAAAAATACCCTATGACCAATGGCAGCAGGTAAAGACTAAAAGGTTAAAGGATAGAGGAAAAAGTTATATGGGCCACAAAATATTGTAAAAGCCGAAAAACAGTGTCCAAATGAAGTGAGTCTAAAAACATTACATGTGTATACTCTAACCTTAAATTTTTTTCCTGCGTTTTGTTGTGTACTATAGCACGTCTGTTTTAGGATTCAACTTGTTCGTTAACTTGCAACTCTGATGATTGTTCCGTGCTTAACAAGAATTTGGAAATAAAAGTTGATATATTTAATCGTTTTTACCAGGTATTATTATAATGAGCAGCAGCAATTATTTCGAAATAAGTACCTTACCACAAGGGTGCAATTACACTTGTATAGGTCAATTTTTCATGACAAATTTAATTTTTATTGTTTAAGATTTGGTGTTCCCAGATCTGATACATGTAAAGTATCTGACAAATTTTATATACAAATGGTTGCAAGCCAGAATAAGAAGAGTTAAAGCAGCTACAATTTCAGTCATAATTGCATCACAGAAAAGCAGAAAGGATTATAAAACGTTAGCAGAAGATACACAGGCAGCTATTGAAAATGAAAATTTGGTTGTTCCCTGCGTTGATTTGCAACAGGTCCTTTTTACTCCTAATCGAAGCCATTCAGATGTCTATTACTTGAGACAATATTCTAATTATAACTTTTTTATTCATAATCTGGGGAAGAATAGAGCAACAATGTGTGTTTGGCATGAAAGTGTAGGAAAACGGGGATCAGGGGAAATTTGCTCCGTATTATTTCGCTACATTCAAAATAATTTCGAAATCCTGGGTCCTCATCGGGAGAGAAAACTTATAGTATGGTCTGATAGGTGTGTAGGTCAGAACAATAATATATAATAATACCTTGTTTCATTGCGTTATTTCACAGAGGTCAATCTTCCATGTGACCGCAATTTCGCCATTATTGAAAAATTAAAGAAAACGGTAACCCTTCATGATCCTCAAGATGTTGTAAATATGATTAGAAATACAAGAGAATCGAATCCATTTAATATTTTGGAAATGGAAGGACAATTTTTGGATATGTTGTCGATTGACCTGCAGATCTATAAACATCCCGATATCAAGATTACTTACGCAAAATGGATCCAGTTTACTTGACCTGACAAACCAACTGCCATTATATGGCAGTTGGTTTGTCAGGTATGCGGTATACGGCATGCGGTATAAAAACATGCCACAATCCAATGCAGAACTGGATGGTTTATAATATAATAAAGAAACCCAAAGGAAAGATATCCCAAACTGCCTCATTACCTGTGTACAACATAGTTGACCCTATTGATCTGCCAATGATCAATAAACTACCTATTAATGCCTCAAAAATGACTGATCTTTTAAAACTTATAGATTACTTACCTCCAGATAAAAGAACTTTTTATCAATTGTTAGATAGTGCAGATCCAAATGTTATGTAGGACTTCATACATTTTTTTGTATTTGATATCAGGTTGAATGCTCGAATAAATGAACTTTGAAAATTAAGGCAAATATCGAGCACAAGTTTAATCAAATCTTGCCCAAGTACTTTCGCTTAATATAGCATCTTCAGGGCATTTCGTCAAATATGGGCTATCCAGCAAGCGTAGAATGTGATAAGCATTAATGTTAACATAAAATTTGTACAAAACACTACACTAAAACAATGACAAACAGTTTAAAATTAATTAAAAAGGTTCTACGCTCTACATTCTTTGTCAGTAGCAGGAGAGAGAAACCTTTTTAATTAATTTTAAACTGTTTGTCATTGTTTTAGTGTAGTGTTTTGTACAAATTTTATGTTAACATTCATGTTTATCACATTCTACGCTTGCTGGATAGCCCATATTTGACGAAATGCCCCTGAAGATGCTATATTAAGCAAAAGTACTTGGGCAAGATTTGATTAAACTTGTTCTCGATATTTGCCTTAATTTTCAGTTAATTTTTTGTATTGTTTATATTAATAAACTATTTATACTATAATAAAATTTGTTTAATCTTACATTTTACCGTGCATTTATTTTTCCTCTAATAATCCTTTAATGTAAACTGAATTCTGTTGTAAAACGTTTCAAGTACGTAATTAATATTAGATTGTTACGTAATTAGTTAGATTGAATGTAAAAACGTTACACATGGGCATATGTAACGTTTTTAGATTGAAAAAGTTTAATACTGTCCAATAGTATTAAAGTAAATTTTAAAAATAAAAAAAATGATAGCAATCTTTAACAATATGTATAAGCATCATATAAACATATTATACAATTTTTTATTGTAACAGGGAAAGTTTGTATTGTTTTCTTCACTTCCTATAAAAAGCGATTTTGCTGTTTGCAACCTTTTTAGAGGGAGGTATTCATTTAATGTATATATTTTTAAAAGATTCTGTACAAATTTTTTAAAATACACACAAGATTTTATAGAAAAGAGAACTTAATCAAGTTCCGTTATTGCTACGTCTACTCAATAAAAAGAAACCTGTAAACAAAAAAATAAAAATAATAAAAAAAATACTTACGTTTCCAACTAATTTATAAACTTTTTCACCAACAATATTATAGGCCTGCAGTACACAGTTAAGAGCGGCATTTCTTACGGAGTTGTCCCTATCAGAAATTTGTTTAGCTACTTCTTTAAGACAAGCCATGGGCGTTGGCATACACACAGTAATGCCTAAAAATTAAATAAACCAGCGTGAAATCAATGGTGTATGCTATTTACTACAAATTTCGGTGTGTAGTCACTAACGAAATTTTCTACTAATGTGAGCAAATTGCATTACACGCTAGATACATATAGAAATAATATTTTTTTATTTTATTCACAGAATGTCCCAATTTTTACAAAAAATTAAGTAAAATAGAATATCCTAACCATAACAAAAATACTAAAAACTAAATATGAAATATTGTAAAATAAATGATTACATTAAAATAAATTAAATTTCCTGAAAATCTTATTAAAATGAATTGAATATACCAAGTTAAATTTGGGCTTTCGTACGGCACTAGCTTACTAAATGTATTATACTAAAGTTTACAATACGAAAAAGGAAAGAGTACTTACCGAAATCTTCAATGATACCACCCATTACTTCCAAACATTCAGCCCTTTGTCTTGCGTTTTTGGATTTAACTCCTTCCATCACATACGTCGATAATTTATTAACAGGGAACAGTCTATTTAGTTGGTTTAACAAAGCTTTCACGCCATTCCTAACCGAATCTTTGGGATCTCCTATCTAAAAGATAATTTAATATTTTTATTTTTAAAATAAATTGAGAGAAAGTAATAATTTTGTTAATCACCAAAAGAAAAACCATGGAAATAGTATAGATATTTAAAATAACATGAGAGAGTTTAAAAGTATAAAACGATGCATATGGATACGAAAAAAAAAAACGAATAATTAAATTGGATATGAAAATCTATGAAAAATACAAATATTGCATTATTGGATACATATTACAAAACCGTTGTTTGAAAATATTCTGAACCATGGATCCGCTAGATCATTCACAGTGACCGACTTCTAACAGTTAAAATTCTTATTAAAAAGATAATAAAATAAAACCTACAGAGAAGAATTATTATTAAATTTAATACCAATACAACAACCAGACAATACTTAGATGAACGGGAAAGACATTATTCGAAACATAAAAGCCCAAAGACTAAAATGGTTTGGGCATATGCAAAGAAAACGGGAAGAAAAATTAATAAAGAAAATTTTAGACGAAAGCCAGAGTGCAGATGTAAGTATCAAGTCAGTGATGACATTAAAAAGATAAATATACATAAGTGGTAAGAAAAATTAAGGACAGAAAGAACTGGAAAATAGTTCAATTATAAACGAACCAAAATCACACACTCACCTGTGTTGGAGACTAATTGAAAACAGTAATTTTCAATATTAAAATACTCTACTTATATACTTTATATATGTTATTGATTAGGTATTACTAAAAATAGTTAATAATAAGGTTTTTGATGCTACTATAAGTCTGTTCCTAGTACCAAAGGGTATCTTTTAAAACATATTTCAAACTGATATACCTACATGCAAAAACAGGAAAAATAAAAAACAAATTTGTGTTTCATTATGTCCCGTGCTCCCCTACTTGCCACTGAAAGATGTACAACTTACCTTATTTATGAGGTACGGAATAAACGCAGACGCTTCATTTTCCAGCATTCGGTATTTTGTATCTATGAGCATATTAAAAACGAATTGTAAATACTCAAGGCCCTTCAGAAGAACTGAAGGATTGGTATCGAAAAACCGCAATGTTAACCATTTTAGTATAAGATCCAAATTTGACATAAGTGCTTGACTGTTGCCGGCTAAATCATCGGTTAGCGACTCCAGAGCTTTGATGTGATATCTACAATTAAAAACATAGGTATGCTAAAATCATTACCGTAAAATAGTACCAGTACTATAATTTATATTAGCAACAAATAAAAAAATATAAAATTTTAGTTTTAAAAACTCACTTCAACTAAAATATTTTGAAAAAGCAGTACGACTTATTCTACATAATAAGAGAAAAGTATAAGAAAGGATAATAGTTTTTACTCAAACAAGTATACCTGAAATCCGAGTGGAACATGTTAGACATAAGTGTTTTATTAACATTTGCTGCCGCCATCTGATCCTTTAGCAAATCAACGAATTCTTCTCTCGGCTGTGTGAAATTCCACTTTAAAACCTTTAACTTCTGTTCGTCGATGGTTCTTTGGTGTTTCAAATTATTAACAACCAACAATGGTGAAGTATCAATATCGTCTTCTTTCTTGCGGCTAGTTGCTGCTGGCGCAGCCTTCGCTGAATTCGCAGACTAAAACAAATCAAGAATGAAGTTAATATATAGTTACAAATAAAAAATTGATTTATAATAAAAGTCTTTGATAACGAAATTCAGTGCTACGGTTCTTCTCAGAGACTTTTTTTAGTCGCGATCTATTGTGTTTTAGATATATCGGATTTATTGCATGCAATTTGAGAGCCATTTGACAGGCTTATATTTCATTTTGGATTTACAAAATTATTGTAAATTGTTTTAGTTGAAAATAAATCCACTACTCCAATTTTATAATAATGTTATACCATAATATCAATAATAATGTTACAACGCTTATATATAAAAAAGGAGTATTTGTCAAAGTCTTGACTAGAATGGACACAACTGTAAATTCCCTGTAGTAACTTTCTATTTCATATTTGTATCATGTTCTATAGCTTCTTCCACTTGTTTGTGGTATAAAGTCACCAATATAATTTATTCATTAAAAAAAATATCATAGTTCATATATCTGCCAATCATTTGTTTAGTTTTTATTGTTACTTCCTTATGTCCGTTTGTTTTCCCCCTCGTACAGTGATTTTCTTCTTTGGTCTTTCAAATGGATCAGGTCTTTAGCTAGTTTTTCCGTCATATCGTTTATGTCGTTTATATTGCTTACATTATTTAGAGATTTTTCCTTGGGGACAAGGAAGGAGCCTCCACGAGATCAATAGTGCCAAATCAAGTACAAAGTAAACGCTATTGACGGCGTCCATTGGAAACGTCTACTAGTAGACTACTAATCCTTTCAACACCGGACCAAACCAAATCAGATGGCAAATCTATATAAAGCAGCGGGTTTTGCAGAACCCTCATCACGCAGAAGCGTTGCAGAGCACATAGAGAAAATTAAACAGATCGCGGACGAGCGGCATGCCCTATACAAAGCTCGAACACCACGAAAGCGACTAAAATCTAGGAAAAGCTTCCTTGGAACAGTGCAGGATGAACCGCCTGAGCATTTTCCTCTTCCCCAGGTTCAATTAATCGTCCAGTCCCTAGATTTTAAAAGTGGAAAACTATGAATAGGGTAAGAACGGGGATCGCTCCAGTAAAATCAAACATGACAAAAATGGGGAAAAATAGACCAAGATAATGTGAACTGTGACTGTGGAGAAACACAGAATATGGAACATCTTCTTATATACAGAAACTGTCCTCAACAATGTACCCTCGAAGATTTGTGGTCCGCCAACAAAGATGAGAGATTCTTCGAGAGATTTAAATTTATTGTTTCTTTTAGTTTTCAAGTGTCGATTTTGTTGATACATTTTATGGATTTGGGTCTCTTTGGTCTTGGTATTGCTATTTTTACCAGTTCCGGAGCACTGTAACATATTTTATTTATATCATTAAAACCGAGAATAGGCAGAATTTTAACAATCTGATTATTTGTGGTAGGAATATGCGTCCCTCTTAGTAAATATGTGCTTCAGCTTGAAAAAACTTGATCTCACCTTCTGAATTCAAGATTTGATCTCTGTCCTCAGGTTCCATTGGTGGTAAACGATCACAATCAATGAAACACGAGAACGAAATATGTAGACAAGAAAGCGAATAAAACTACATAGACTTGTAAATAAAAAAGAGAATTCTAGAAACAAAGAAGGAAAAAAATGACCGTCAAAGAGATACAAATTTTTACAGAAATAAAGAATGGAGCAGGATATATCAGATGAACTAACCAGATAAGCAAAATATTTCAAAAACTTATCTGGAAGACGAAAGAGATGAGGTAAGCACAACAGACGAGAGGGAAGAGGAACCACCAATGTATCTGACATTCAATCCGCCGATCGCTTCGAGCGTTATTTCTAGGAGAATGGTTTATTACATACAAAAAGGGTTAATAAGCATTTTTGTTCAAAATTATCTCAGCTACATTTGTTACGCCAGGTAACAGATTCTTGGTAAATCGATTTTTTTCGTTCCCCGACCTCCTACGAAAGGAATTTTAAGGGGAAGCCCAGAGGTAGGAGTAGTAAACTTTTTTGTATATTTTTGGGGTCCCAAAATTGACATTCTCAGCAAAAGTCAGCTTGTTCATATATTTAGAGGTTTAGTGCATTTTCATATCTGACGACTGGAGTAATGCTTTCTAAATATTATGAACATATTTGATAATGTAATATGTTGATTTTCTTTACACAATAATCATTAACATACAATTTTTTTGAGAACTACGACACCTTTTAACTCGGATAATAGTATATTACTTTATGAGGCGGAGAAGCATGACTTTTCTTGACGCGCCCGATATTACGCCGAACGAAGTGAGGCGCGTAATAGAGGGCAAGTCAAGAAAAGTCGCTTTTTTGCCGAATAAAGTATACTATTTTTTTCTTCAAACGTAGCAATTTTCAACCATAAATAGTACAATTCATACTCTATTTTTACTCGAAATTAACTGTGACAACTATCAAAGTCGTCTAGATGTTAGAAATTAAAATAATTAAGTCGTCGGTGGGATTTGCGTCTCCCTGGTTACAGTTGTTTGCAATTATTAAAGACAGCTTATTGTTGTTGCACACCGCAAATTTAGTGCGAAAATGGAAAACCTAAACGAAATTGAGTCCGCGGCTAATGATGCAGTAGCACGTTTGGGGCCCTTCAAGTCTGGAATAAAGTATCGGTTAGCGTACAAGCACTTCCAAGAGTGGTGCGATACAAGAGGAGTACGGCAAGTTACCGAAGACGTTTTACTGGCATATTTTAATATAATGAAAAATGAAAATAAATGGAAATCTTCTACAATGTGGTCACGATACTCTATGATAAAATCCGAGTTAGTTATTAGAAAAAATGTGGTATAAGCAAATTAAACGATGCAAGCGCATACACGGGTCACTCTTTACGACGAACTTCAGCAACACTTTTAATTGATGGAGGCGGAAATCTAGAATGCCTCAAACGACATGGGGGCTGGAAATCAAGCACGGTTACCGAAGGATATATAGAGGATTCAATAAGAAATAAGAACGATAATGCTCAAAACATTTTAAACCCTCATGATTCGCCAACATCGGGAATGATTGCTGAAAGTTGTTCTCGACCATCAGTATCATCAACAATTACCAATGCGTATCAAGAGTCGGGAACATTTTTGCACGGTTTCAATTTTGAAAATGCCTCATTAACTAATTGTATTTTTAATAGTACTATAAATAAAAGTGATGTTTAAATTGATATTAATGACATTTGTATTGTTGCTTTGTGATATGTTTCATATTGTTGCCATGACAACATTTTTCCCTCCGCCGTAAAGAAATGGGAAAAAAACTGCTGCCGGCGGAGACATCAAACTTTGACAGGATCAAGTTAGATAAGTAATGTCATCATTATTTGACGTTTGAAGAAAAAATAATTTGTCAGTTTCTCTTCCAATATTAAAATAAATTATGCACACACAAAATATTATACATAAATGATACAATACATATTTACCTTAGATTTGACGGCATTTTTAGCATTAGCAACAGGTTTTGTTCCTCTCACCACCTTATCCTCTTTTTCTGGAGCCTGCTTCTTTGTAGGTAATGGTTTGACTGGTAAGTTGGGTCTCACTTTTTCTAATGCAGCCACAATGACAGTTTTGGAACCGGGTTTCAATTTTTCGGTTTGTTTAACCATGTTTTCATATCCCTAAATGTATCATAATACCTAAAATTGCTTCCTGTGCATTTTTTCGAACGTCGGCGTTTCTATCCTCCAAATTGCTGTAAAGGTGAGGTATACACACGACTAACTCTTCTTTTGGTATCTGTTTAGGGGGAACTGGAACAAATGAATTAATATGTTTAGGCAATTTCTTTCCGTTTCTATGCTTTGAAGTAAAAAAGGTTTATAGCGCGGCTACCAATCTGCTTACGAAAAATAAAAAGCAAAAATAGATTACAAATAGTTGAATTAAACAATTGGTGTCAGAGCATTAAGCTCATCCCTCTAATTAGGTCACAGCGAGCATTAGCTGTGTTGTAGCATTTCATTTTTCTAGCATTTAAAATTTTTGTTATAGTCTAAGATCCCGCTATAAAACGACCTTCACCGAGCTGGTTAATGGATGAAAGATATTCTTTATCAAATAAAATAAGTCAACAAATATATTACGAATGGGTTGTCTAAAAAATTTCAGTCCAGAATATGATTAATTAACAATTAAAAAAATTTTTTTTTTTAAATTACACCGGCTTGGTTAATGAACAAATTTCATTCCAATCGAAAATATGAAACCTATAGAATATTCTATGTGTGTTGCTCGACTCTTTCGATATTCTGTTGGTTGATTGTAAGTTGAGCGTATAGTATTGGTTTTTTACTAATTGTCATAAATTTGGTTTTCTTTATGTTAAGAGCTAGTCCGTATCTGTTGCTGACTTCTGTTATGCGATTTGTTAATATCTGTAAATCATTCAGATTATAGGCAAAACTATAGTGTCATCTGCATATCTAATGTTATTCAACCATTCACCTTTATTAGTATTCCTTTCGCACAACCGTCTAAAGCTTCCTTAAATACCCATTCAGAATAAATATTGAACAACAATGGAGACAAAATACAGCCCTGTCGTACTCCACGTTCTATTGCAATTTTATCAGTTAGATGGTCTTCTATTTTGATTTTGGCAGTTTGATTGTAGTAAATGTTTCTGATAATTCTAAGATCTTTGTTGTCAATTCCAATTTCTTGCATTAGAGTCATTAATTTGTCATGTTTTACTCTGTCAAATGTCTTCTGGTAATCTATAAAGCATACATATATGTCACAATTCACATCCCTGCATTTCTGAAATAGCACCTGTACAGCAAAAAGGGCCTCCCGTGTTCCCAGAGCATCACGAAATCCGAATTGTGTTCTTGTTAGTTGTTCCGCACATTTTGTATATATTCTTTTGTGAATGACCTTTAGAAATGTTTTAAGTAAATAGCTCATAAGGCTTATAATTCTATAGTCTTCGCACTTTCTCGCATTGGTTTTTTTTTTTTTTTGGAAGATTTATAAAAGTTGACACTAACCATTTTTGGGGAATTACGCCTGTATCATATATATCGATACATTTTTGGCAAAGTAACGTAAGTCACCAAACACGATTTGTAGAAAAAACAATTTTTTAATTCAACCTGGTTAAAATTATTTAAATTATGACTGTCCTACTTGTTCTAAAAAAGGTTTAAAGTAATTCGACACTTACTACACTTTGGCAGTACCCTTTTAACAATAATAGTGTTAGTTTAATTGAAAAATATGATTTTCGCCAAAAATGTCACTTACGTTACTTTGCCAAAAATGTATCGATATTGTTAAATATATTTGTCAACCATTGTATGCCATCATAGTCCATAAGTTTTACGAATTCTGAGGGAAAATTATGAGGGCCTACTGCTTTACCAACTTTGGTGCTTTTGATGGCATATTTTATTTTTTCGAGTGTAAATGGTGGTCCAGATTCGCAATTGGTGTTTGTTGTAATACCAGTGTTACTTCGTATTTATTGAGACATTATACACTTTTTTAATATCAGAAGAATGGTATGTGTTATTTATAATATATATTATAAAATCCAACACAAAAAGCTTTTTCCGATTCAGATTGCAATCCTTATTCATTAATTTTAGTTTTTAATTAGTGTTGAGCAATAATTAATTTGATTTACCTTTTTGAATAATCTTCTGTTGTTTTGATCTTTGATCAAGGACCGCAATCTATTTAGCAATAAATTTATTGATGTTAGTATGTGTTTTGTTTTATTTTGTTATTTTCTAGAGCATTGAATAAATACATTTGCTTTTAATTTTAATATTTTCTTAAAGATATTTTTATGTCTACTAATTCTACTAATTTTTGACGAAGAATGTAGATCCATTTACCAACAGAAAAATTAAGCATACAAGAGACTCCAGCAGCGAAGAACGAGACCAAACCTGAAGATTATGAAAATCTTAGACGAGAAGAAAAAGGACGTTTAGAAAGAAAAAGAAAGCGTCATACGAAAACGCTCTAAACGGGATTGTTAACCACCACAACAGAAAAGATTCGCGAAAATTCTACCAGAAGATAAACAGCTGAAGAAAAAACCCAGAATAACAGCATGTAAAGACAGAGATGGTTCTATAATTAGTGACAAAGAACAGATACTAAACAGGTGGGCGAATCATTTTAAAGAACTGCTTAGCGACAGTGTTGAAAAAGACCAAATAGAAATTACCTTGCCTGAAATGGATGAAAACGCTCAAGAGCCGCCCCAGACTGAAGAAGAAATTAGAGAAGCCATTTCAAAGCTGAAAAATAACAAAGCCCCTGGTTTGGAGAATCTTCCTGCCGAACTCTTTAAAAATGGTAGTAACATCCTTCTTAAACACATGCATAAATTGGTAACCGAAATCTAGCTACGGAAGGAAACGCCCGCAGACTGGAAATTAGGTTTAATGCACCCTCTTCACAAAAAAGGAGATATGACGGTGTGTGATAATGATAGAGGCATCACCTACTTAACGTGGCATATAAAGTATTGTCCAGAAGATTGGTCCCCTATGTTGAACAAATAGTTGGGAACTACCAGTGAGGTTTCCGACCCAATAAATCAACAATAGAACAAATCTTCACGGTCAGGCAGATTCTTGAGAAAACGCTTGAGTTTGGAGTCGACACCCACCACATATTCGTGGATTTCAAAGCCGTATACGACTTAGTCAACAGACAAAAACTTCTGCAGGCTATGGTGGAATTTCAAAAGCCGCTTCATCTTGTTCGACTAACAGAACTTACACTTACAGGCGTAGAGAGTGTAGTCAGAATCCAAAACGACTTTTCAAGACCGTTCCATTGTAAAAATGGACTGAGACGGGGAGATGGACTGTCGTGCCTCTTATTTAACCTTGCACTAGAAGAACTAATTCGAGAGTGGCATATTAACACGAATGGCACCATCTTTAATAAATCTGTACAAGTGGTCGGATATGCAGATGACATAGACATTATTACTAGGTCCACAGAATCTCTGATCGAAGCATTTCAATCATTAAGAGCGTCTGCACTGAGAATGGGATTAAAAATAAACGCACAGAAAACCAAGTATATGTATTGTACTAGATCATGCAACCAGATACCTAGACTATTAATTGATGATCTGGAACTGGAAGATGTGCCATACGGGTCAGAAACGTGGTCACTTACACAGAACGACCAAGAACTGCTTAAACGTTTCGAGAAAAAAATTCTGAAGAAAATATATGGAGGAGTCCAAGAACAGGGTTTGTGGCGTAGGCGCTACAACTTTGAGTTATACAGAAGTTTTGGGGAACCTGACCATGTAAAATGTATAAATTAGCACGCCTTCGATGGATAGGACATGTAATTAGGCGAGATAAAGATGCAACGATCAGAAAAATTTTCGACCGTAGAGGAACAGTGGGAAGACGATCCAGAGGAAGACCAAAACTTAGGTATCAAGATACCATAGAGGATGATCTAAAATCCATCGGAGTTAAAGCATGGAAAAGAGTTGCCAGAGAAAGGAGCGAATGGAAGATTGTTCTGAAGAAGGCTTTGGTTCATGGCAAGCTGTAATGCCACTGATGATGATGAATTCTACTAATTTAACAGTTAGTACTAGTGAGTTCAATGAATAGAGTATAACGATACAGGTGAATTAAACAAAATAATTAAATATATTGATGTAAATATTAATTTATCAACTTACTTTTTGGAACATTTTCGGCCAGCCAATTCCAAAGTTCAATTCTTAGTGCGGGAGAACCAGACTTCAACGCATCTGCGATCATTTCACCGTCGAAAAATTCCTTGTAGCCACATTGCTCAGTAAAAGTATTTATAGTCTCCAATGCCGCAGCCCTCAAAGCGGCCTTGCTATCTCCCAAACCTTAATGATAAACAAATCAAAAATAAGCTGAGGTTTAAACGTATTTTGTTAAAATAGCATACCCTGTAATACTCCCGGAAAGAATGCCCTAACATATTGTTTAAACGGTGGTCCCATGGCCTTGGCAATGGCTTCACAAAGCGCTAACGCCGACATAGCAATTTTGACGTTGCTATCTGTTAACCTGACACCTAAAGCTTGGGGCAAATCGCCTAAATTCGATTTTATGAATTTAGTTTCGCTAATTATCGTTGCTACTTTGGCCACGGCCTCATTTCGCACTTTCCAGTTCTTATCGCTTAGTTCTGTTAGAATAGTATCAGTTATCTGATTGCTGATGTCCACTCTGGGAATGAGATCTTGGATATTTACTTGTTCTGGCTCGTCGTCTTCTACGACATCTAGACTGTCTGAGCTTGCTGACTTCACCACACCTAAAAGATAATTCGGGATTTTAAAACTTTCGATATATTACAAAAAATTTACCAAATTTAATTTAAGTTATTTAGATATACCTGCAAGTACACAATGATATTATATTTAAGTTAAATTAATTTTAAATAAGTTTGCCGCTCGTAATGTAATCACTGACTTATTCATTTTGATTCGGCAATAAAAAACATTTGGAAAGCAGTCGTTAACATGCCTGTAACTCCTATATGCCTTAAGTCTACAACTTCAAATTTTTATCCCTTATTCTACTCATTAGGAACTAACATTCAGCCAAATTTCAAATTTTTGCTTGTTTGCCCGTCAGAGATATAAGCGCTCAAATTTTAAAATTTTTAAAAAAATTACATTTTTGAATTTTTTTTGAAAAAATTAACTCAAGTCTCAAAGCTCAAACTTTTTTCATTTAAAGTATGTATGTATGTCTTTTAGCTTGTAATGCACAATATAAAATACCACTCAGGAGATATTATAAGAACATAAAAAATTTCCTTGAATTTAAGAGCTTCTGGAAAGTCTTCTTTGCGTTTCTTTTCTTAGTTCTACAAAAAAGAACGTGGTAAAGAGTTTTTTCAACTACTTAGACCAGTGGTTCTCAACACCTTTTTGTGGCGACAGAACACTTTTTAATTACCGAAAAAAATTGCGGAACACCAAAGCAATAACATGCATATATTGATAAACAAATTAGGATTAGCACATAAGTTCTGTAATAAACGTTATTATACGTACTCAAATTTGTAAAATTTTACTTAAAATATGAAAACAAAAAACATTTTAAAATTAAAAAAAGCGTAATTCTCAAAATACATCATATGAGTAAATACTTCAAATTAGTGAGACACTTGTGGCCTGGTGTCGTTTGCAAATTTTGCTCAATATCAGGCCTGATGTGGGAAAGAGCTACTCTCATTTCTTGTTCTAAGTTTAGCAGCCTCTCCCGTTTCTTATGTTTAATGTCTGTTAAAGATGAGAACCCAAATTCACATAAATAGGAAGTTGAAAACTGTATTAAAATACTAATCGCTTTTTTGACAAGAAGTGGATATTCCTCTTGGACCAAGATCCAAAATTCCTGAACATTCACTTCTGAAAACTTAATTTTCAGAGTACGATCAGATGACAACGAAATAAATTCTTCCAGTCATATTTTTCTACGTTCAGAAATTGAAAATACCTGGCAATTATCTCCTCTAATAGTGATAAGTGTTCTGTAACTATACGCGTGATTTCTTGTTCTTTATCTTCATCACCTTCATTCTGAAGCAGTGGAAACATCATTTTATTTGTCTCTAAAATGCGCTTCTTCCAAAATGACAATTTTTTCTCGAAAGCTGACAGCTTTTGTTAAAATATTTTCATTTTTGCCTTGCATACTTGAGTTAACGCCATTTAAATAATTAAAAATATCGGCCAAATATGCCACTTTAGTGCACCATGCATTATTTTCAAAATATGTGGTAAATGTGTCATTACCTTCTTCTTGGAAAAAAGCTAACAGATCCGTTCTAAGTTCATAAATTCACATAATACTTTGCCCCTTGACAACCATCTAACTTCGGTGTGCAGCAACAAACATTCATACTTTGAGTCCATTGAGATGCAGAGTTGTTTAAAAAGACGGGTTTTTAGTGTCTTGATTTGATGTAATTCACGACATTAACCACTTGGTCTAATACAGATTTCAAAGTAGCTGGTAGCGTTTTTGAAATTAGAGATTCTCTATGCAAGAAACAGTGCGTAGATATGATATTTTCATTTCGCTTTTTTGCAAGGGTACAAAACCTTTTATGGAGCCTACCATGGAAGGGGCACCATCCGTACAAATTCCTACGCAAAAGTCCCATGATATATTTTTTTTCTCTAAATATGACGTTATGGAATCAAATACATCTTGACCTGTTGTACGTGCTGTAAGTTCTCTGCAGCATAAAAACTGATTGACTATTTCACCTTCGTCGACAATTCGAATAAATCCTAATAAATGAGCTTTGCCACTAATATCAGTGGATTCGTCCACCTGCAATGCGAAGTTTTTTTTGTAAAGTTTATTTGTAACTTTTTCCTCAATATTTGCAGATAAATCAACAATCCTCCTTCTTATTGTATCATCCGACATAGGAATTTTCCGTATTTCGTTTTGTGCATCGTTGCCAAACATAATTTTGACCATCTCACAACATGCTGGTAATATAAGAGATTCTGCAACAGTGTGTGGTTTCTGTTTCAAAGCAATTAATTCGGCGACCTTATATGAAGCTATTTGTGCTTTGTCGGAAATTGTTAGCGACCTTTCAAATTGTTTCGCTTGTTTAGCTTGTGTCTCCAAAAGTCGCTTGACATAATCTTTATTTTTTTAAGCTACACTAGCGTGTTTGGTAGTAAAATGGCGTTTTAATTTAGCCGGAGCCATTGCGCTATTAGCGAGTGTCTGCCCACAAACAATACATTTGGGAATTAGACAGTCTTCTTCCCCAGTCCAAATGAACCCATAATCCAAATATTCATCCAAATATTGCCGGTTCAACATTTTTTTGCTGCGCTTGTGACGTCCTCTCGTAGGAGTCACTATCCGGGTAGCTTTTGGACAGTCAGAGACAGAGTTCAAAATAAAAATAAAACTTTATTGTCTTCCTTAAATTAAATTGACAAAAATCTTATGTACATATTTACAATTTAGTTTAGTCTTCTCAGTACCTGGCCTATTTATTCAAATTAAGTTTGACCTTGTCGTATGAAATTAGTGTTATCGGCAATCAAGTGTGTTTTCGGAATTTTACGTGAACGATGTGTCGATTTAATAACAGCGGACGATAGGTACAAAGGAAAGAAAGAAACTCAACACGTCCCTCAAGTGATTCGGGTTAATAGGACACTCCTCGACAGTCTCAACACGACTGCTTCGGAGTACGGGTAGTGGAGAGCTCAACACGCTCTCCGGATAACGGCGGTATGGAACGGAAACAACTTGTGAACTCAACACGTCCACAAGCCGGGGTAGGGGAGAAGAGAACCTTCAGTCAACACCTGACGATTCTGCCTCTATGAGGAAATAATGCGGTTTATATAGCAAAGATTTGCCCTTTCTACTGTCGATACACTCCTACTTCATGGGTTGATTCGCGCGCACGCTGGTTTAAACGGTGATGGCTTGGACTCATCGTTACACCCCCTCTTCCTGGGAAAAAAAAATTTTGGAACAAAATTTTTTTATTTTTATTCCTTGCCAGGTACTTGGTTACCTAAAAAACAATTTACAATACATCGAAATAAAAAATGTCCGCCCTAAAAAAAAATAAATATCGTCTTCTTAAAAAAAAAATCGTCTTCCCCTCTCTTAAAAAACGTCTTCCTTCGTGGGGCTTCAATTATTGGTTTTTATCCTCAGCACCTGGTTCGGGAGTCTCAGTCTGTATTTTTTTCCTTTATGCTGCGGCGGAATTAGTGAGAGCAGCGGGATTGACACTGGAATTGACTGGACTTTCTGAATTTTTGTGATGCCCATGGCTGGTTCATCGAAAAGGTTTTTAAATTTGGAAATAGCCTTTATCAGGGGCTCGCAGCCTTTGCCCGGGGTGTTAGGTTTTGGTGTGTTCCCCAATGGTGATATTAACTCTGGAACGGTGTATGGTGGCGGCGTAACTGTGCCGTCCATTTCTATGTCACTGTAATATATTTCTAACGTGTCTGACATTATACTTGAAGGTTACTGGTAAACTGTATTAAAATATACTGTCACTACTTGGTGTTGACTGTAAGTGCTTGGACTGATTAAGGAGTAGGGAAATCGGTAAATGCGGGTTTTAGGTCTTTGATATGAGCTGTTATTGTACGGTTTTTATCGTCGTGTTTTAATTTGAATATTACATTAGAACACACTTTTGTTATAGTATATGGGCCTGAAAATTTCGGTGCTAATTTGGCGTTAAAATTTTTGGCGGCATTTGAGAGTTGGTATTCCCTTTTCATGACTTTGTCGTTTATTGTCGGTTTCCACTCTCTTCGTCGTAAGTTGTAGTAATGGCTTTGAGTTGTAAAAGCTTTTGCCAGGTTTGTACGTACTAGTTCGAATGTTTCTTGTAGTTTATGCCATTTTATGTTTTGATCGGTATGTTGTGTGTCGTTTGGGGTTTTTACGACTTTACTTGGAATTTCTAGTTCGTGTCCAAAGTTCAGGAAGGCTGGGGAGAAACCCGTTGAATCGTGTTTAGCTGTATTATATGCGAATAGTAGTTCTGGAAGGCTCGTGTCCCATTTCTTATGGTTATTATCGCAGAACTGAGCTATCATTGTTTTGATTACTCTGTTTGTTCTTTCTACTGGATTATTCTGGGGTGAATATGGCGGAATGTTTCTTTTAGAAATCTGGAATTCATCTAGCAACTTTCGTACTTCCCTGTTATCGTATGTTCTTGCGTTGTCTGATATTAGCTCTTTGGGTGATCCGAATCTCATAATGATTTTATCTTTTAAGTTTTGACAGACTGATTTTGCCGTTGCTGTTCTGATCGGTATGGCTTCGACCCATTTTGAAAAGGTGTCCTGGAATGTCATTATATATTTGTTTCCTTTGCTGGATGTTGGAAGGGGTCCTATGATGTCGGTTGAAACGGGTGTGCCATGGATGTGGGGGAATTTGTGTAGATTGCATGCGGCCTGGAGTTAAGCTTTGTTGCGGCTTAAATTGCTGACAATTCTTGCAGTTCCTGACGAACTTTGCGGCGTCTTTAAACATCCCTGGCCAGTAGTATTTTCTAGCTAGGCGGGTTATTGTTTTAGCTATTCCTAGATGTCCTGCGGTCGGTTGCTCGTGGTTTTCTGCCAGGAGTTGTTGTCTCTTGTGGTTTGGGATGCATAGTTTCCAGGGGTTGGATACCTCTGTCTCTTTTAAATCGTATTTGTCCCAGAAGTGTCGATAGAGAAGTCCATCTTTGATAGAGTAGTCTGGAAATAGTTGCGGATTTGTCTGGATTTTATTTAAAGCTTTATTGTACCATTCGTCGGGTTCTACATCTTCTACGTTTATTAAGCAAACCAGATCTACTGGTTCTCTAGAGAGCGCGTCGGCCAGGACGTTCTGGGAGCCCTTTCTGTAAATGACATCGAAGTCAAATTGTTGCAGCAGCATTGCCATCTAGCTATTCTACCTGTAGGGTTTTCCATTGTTTGTAAGTATCGTAGACTTTGATGGTCTGTGATAATTGAAAATGGGTATCCTTCGATGTAGGGTTTCATCTTTTCTACACCGAAGATGATCGCTAGTAGTTCTTTTTCTGTCACGCTGTAATTTTTTTCGGCCTTTGTTAGGTTTCGACTTGCGTAAGCGATGACTTGTTCCTGTCCTTCGTCGTTTGTTTGTACTAAAGCTACTCCTAAACCGTGGTTCGAAGCGTCCGATTGTAAAAAAAATCTTTTCTGGAAGTCCGGGCAGATCAGTATTGGAGCTTGTGTCAGTAGTACTTTTATTTTGTTGAATGCTTCCTCTTGCTCTCTGTCCCAAGTCCAATGTTGTTTTTTTCTTTAGTAGCTTTGTTAAAGGGGCTGTAGTTCGTGAAAAATCTTTTATAAATCTCCTATACCATGAGATGATGCCCAAAAATCGGCGTAGTTGTTTAACGGTTTTTGGCGCGGGATATTCGACTATGGCTTTTGTCTTGTTTTCGTCCACTTTTATTCCCGTCTTGTTTACTACATGGCCTAAATAATTTATCTCTTCTTTGCAGAATTTACATTTGTCTATATTAATTCGTAATTTGGCCTGCTGTAGTCTGTGAAGTACTTCTTTTAAGTTTTCCATATGTTCCTCGAACGTTTTTCCCCAGTACTATTATGTCGTCTAAATAGGCGAATGCATGTGGTTCCATTTCTGGGCCGATTATTGTATCTAGTAATCGTTGAAAAGTAGCGGAGGCGGCGTGTAATCCGAATGGAAGTACTTTGAACTGGAATAGTCCTTTTCCTGGTGCTATGAAAGCGGTCAAGGGTTTGCTTGCTTCGGAAAGTGGTACTTGCCAATATCCATTTTTTAGATCCAACGTGGTAAAATATTTTGCAGATTTTAACTTTTCTAGGATATGATTGATGTACGGTAATGGGTAGGCATCTTTTTTCTGAGATGTCGTTGATTTTCCTAAAATCGATGCAAAATCTGTATCCGTTGTTATCCTTCTTGTTTACTAGGACGATGGGGGAACTGTACGGGCTATTAGATTTTTCTATGACGTTCTCTTCTAGCATCTTATCTATCTCATCGTTTATGATCTTCTGCATTGCCGGGTTTCGGGGCCTGTATCTTTGTTTGATCGGTGTATTATGTTTAAGTTTTATTGTATGTTCGGTTAGATGTGTTGTTCCTTTAATGTGTTTAAATTTCTCCAATTCGGTTAGTAACAATTTCTGTAATTGTTTTTTTTCGGTATTGTTTAGTGTAGTACTAATGTCGAGCTGCTCTCGTTTCGGACTGTTCGTGAATTCCGGTATGTATGACGGAATGTCTTCGGTCTGGTCGTCGGCCGCGGTATCGGTCGGTAGTTCGGTATATCTTCGGTCTGGTTGTCGACCGCGGTATCGGTCGGTAGTCGGTATATTTTCCGTCTGGTCTTCGACCGCGGTATCGGTCGGTAGTTCGGTATATCTTCGGTCTGGTTGTCGACCGCGGTATCGGTCGTTAGTCGGTATATTTTCGGTCTGGTCTTCGACCGCGGTATCGGTCGGTAGTCGGCAGGTCGTTTTGTTATATATTTTGCTTCTCTGTTGGAGCGGATATCTTGCGGTTGGTGTTTCGTTAACCCTGGAATTGGTCGGTATTCTGTTATTGTCTGCATTGTACGATCTGGATCTGTGTTCTGTTCTGGTTTGGTATTGTTCTCTCCTTCTTACGCGATTTCTATTTAAGATGTTTGATAAATCAAGGCCCCATCTTGTTATTTCATGCATTCCCAGTACTACTTCTGAAGCTAGGTTTGGTAAAAAATGTAGCTTGGCTTTTCTCCAAACGTTGTCTATGGAACATTTTGCTGTAAAACAGATTTCTATGTTGCTGGTTTTTCCATCTGCCAGCGTGATCTTTAAAGCTTTTCTGTCGCTTTTTGTTCCACATTGTTCCAATATTTTTTTACCTTTTTGTCCTATAAACGAATTTTGGGCTCCTGTGTCTATTAGTGCTTTTAACTTTTTACCGTTGCTGAACGTTATCGTTGTGTGGGGTCGTTGATCTTTATAGTGTGCGTAGCTGGAGGTTGTTAGGGAGGACTCTAAATGCTGACTGGGTTGCCTCCTTCTTGTCCAGTCCTGTTGGAGTTTTCCGGTCGGCTTCTACATTGGCAGTTATTGGAAGTTGTTCCTCGGGTTCCGCAATGGCTGCAGAAGAGTACAGCGATAGCTCTGCAGTTTCTTCTATTGTGGCCTCTGCGGCCGCATTTCCAACAACAAGTCTGTCTGTCGAAATTCTGTATTTTGTTATTACGACTATTTGCCTGTGTCCAGTCACACCTTGTATTGTTTCTGTTATATATTTCTTTTTGGACCATATCATATTCTTCCGCTAGTCTGATGATGTCCTGTGTTGACGATACGTCTTGCCTCTTTATATACAACTTGTATGTCGGGTTCATATTGGTGTATATCCTGTTTAGTTCTTCTTGGTGATTGAATTCACCATGTCTTCTGATCATTGTTTGAATATCAATGATGTAGTCTTTTACACCTTCGTTGTTTCGTTGGAGTCGGTTCCGGATTTGCGCTTCCAGAGATTGCGTGAGAACGGAGGAAACGAAGAAATTGCGGAAATCTTGTTCGAAGTCTTTTAATTCGTTCCAATATTTATTATTGTTTCTGTACCATAGTAATGCTTTCCCGTTTAATGTTTCTGGTAGAGCTTGTAAAACGTGGGTGTCTTGTAGGCCGTAAGCTGTCTGGAGTTCTTTCAACCGTTCTATGAATTCTATTGGGTCTCTTGAACCGTCAAAGTGTAACCCCCATTTGCGTACTATTTCCATCTTTCTTTGTCTGTCTTCCATCTGGTTTTCTTCTATTTCCTCTGGGTTTTGGCCTTTTTGAGTTGGTGCCTTGATGATCGCAACTAATCTCGCTCTTAGCTCGCTGAAATTCCCTTCCGTCGACTGTTCTCTGTTTGTTAATTCGGCTATAAGTTCGTCTTTCTTTAATAGGTACACCCAACTAACCTTCGACGTTTCCGGAGCGTCTGTCATTTTTGAACTGTGAATCACCCTGTATTTGAATAAAGTTTGAAATGCAGTACTGTCTCATGAAAATAAAATTCGGAATTCGGTCGTTATTATTGTTTAAATCGAATTTTTCTGCTCGGGCGCCATCTGTGACGTCCTCTCGTAGGAGTCACTATCCGGGTAGCTTTTGGACAGTCAGAGACAGAGTTCAAAATAAAAATAAAACTTTATTGTCTTCCTTAAATTAAATTGACAAAAATCTTATGTACATATTTACAATTTAGTTTAGTCTTCTCAGTACCTGGCCTATTTATTCAAATTAAGTTTGACCTTGTCGTATGAAATTAGTGTTATCGGCAATCAAGTGTGTTTTCGGAATTTTACGTGAACGATGTGTCGATTTAATAACAGCGGACGATAGGTACAAAGGAAAGAAAGAAACTCAACACGTCCCTCAAGTGATTCGGGTTAATAGGACACTCCTCGACAGTCTCAACACGACTGCTTCGGAGTACGGGTAGTGGAGAGCTCAACACGCTCTCCGGATAACGGCGGTATGGAACGGAAACAACTTGTGAACTCAACACGTCCACAAGCCGGGTAGGGGAGAAGAGAACCTTCAGTCAACACCTGACGATTCTGCCTCTATGAGGAAATAATGCGGTTTATATAGCAAAGATTTGCCCTTTCTACTGTCGATACACTCCTACTTCATGGGTTGGTTCGCGCGCACGCTGGTTTAACGGTGATGGCTTGGACTCATCGTTACACGCTTCGATTTGTCATCAACCCCATTTCGTAAAGTTCCAGTATCTCCGCTGGTGCTCGCTTCATCATCATTAATTATGAGTTGTTTCAGTAGTTTTTCTTTTAAGTTTGAGGAACTTATCCATTTTAATTTATTCGTCTCTAAACAGAATAATGCGGATGAATGCTTCACATTTTGTATAAAATATGCAATTACTTACCTTTGATAGATAAGCCGTACGTAAACGTTATCATAAAAAAACTGACACAGCGATTTTCACGTATTACGTTTGTGCAATGTAACAAATTCAACATTCAGTTGCAGACTGTGGCGTGGGTGACTCAGATTGGCTGTGCCCACTGCGGAGCTCAGCGCTTATAAAATCCAACGTGTGCACTGTGCCGACGCGGTGTTATCACGTTGGGCAAATGAACATTTACGCTGCAGATTTTATTAAATTAAAATGTACGTAAGTGGCTATTTTAAAATTTGAAAATATTTATTTGAAAAGAGTAATTTAGCAAAATGGTATGTAGGATTGCGAGTATTTCGCGGAACACTTGGAAGAAATTCGCGGAACACTAGTGTAACCACTGACTTAGATTAACGAAGGATAAAAAGAAACGAAACAAGAAACAACATTGAAGAAGACAATTAATCGATTCTAAAATTTCATAGTTTCATTTAAAATCTATCATTTAAAAAAGTTATTCGTTCAGATCACATTCTGAAAAAAAAAAATATAATAGTAAATACAAAGTATAGCTCTGTTATATCGAACACGTTCATTTTTATAGAATATAAATTATCTACAGTTAGCTGTGACTTAAACAAAAACAAAAAACAAAGCATGTCTATGTCCAGCAGTGCACTCAAGTCGTTTAGTCATGAGTGTATACACATTTATACACATTGCTTATCGAAGCTTAATTACATAATTTTGTGCTTATATACAGCTTACCTCTTGTTGGGGGAGGAGGCTTCTCGCCTTCATACTTATCACATTCAGCGTTGATTTGATCTCGCAGTGCCGGCTTTTCGTTTTCGAAAAATACGTTTAGAGTTGCACCCATGTATAGGTACATAATTCCTAACAACGAGACGGCCGTTTGCCTTACTGCTGGATTCGTGGAGCTTAAAGCTTTCTTGCAGTTGTCGATTAGAAATTTGACGTTCAAATTGCTGCAAATAAGAAATAGTTAGAATTTGTCCGCTATTATCTTGTGAACAATAATAAATTCCGAAAGATATAAAACATTGCGCTACCATTATATATTCGTTATGCGATCGGGGTGAGTCTTATAGACAAAAAAACAAACAAATGGATTAGAAGCAAAACGAAAGTAAAAGACGCAGGAGAACATGCTGCCAAATTAAAATGGAGCTTCGCAGGACACAATGCCCGACTGAAGGATAAGAGATGGAACCACGAAATACAACAATGGAGACCATGGTTAGGAAAGAGAAACAGAGGTTTTATTGTTTGTAGCCACATTGTTATTTATTTAAAGTAAAAAAAAAATAGTAAATTTTAATTTATTATTGGCGCCCAACGTGGGGCCTTGTGTTACCTCATCCTATAACGCAATGAATATATTATACCAGTGTATTTGTTAATTTAATAGGATAGAGGAAGGGATGATGAATATGATACAAATCTGTGCATCAACGCCGACTTATATACTACTGCGTTTGGTGTAAAAATCATTATACTTACGAAAATCCAAATTCCTTGATAGCTCCAGACAACCAACTTAAAGCCTCCTGCTGAACTTTGGGACTTTTTTGTCCAAAGGCAAAATCTAGAACCATATCGGATACTTGTCCAAAGGTAGTGGCCTCCGCTATGGCGCTTAGCGTCTCAGCGACGGCGGCACTGTTCTTGGCATCCGAAAACTTTTCTGACATGTCTGGCACGCAACAGCTGGCTGTCGTTATTGTGAATTTCGTATTTTCGGCTAAGTATTTGATGACTTCTATTTTAGCTTTTAGTACTTGGACGTTGGTATCCTTAAGACCGGGCTTCTTGGCGAGGAATTTTACGATCGCTTGAGTTGGTACCGAGGGAGAGTTTAAGCCTTTTATTTCTGTTAAAAGTTGTTCTGCAGCTGCCAATCTAAAATTTAAATGTTTGTTACATAAACGAAAAATATAGAGTAGAGAGTAGAGGACCATAAAAAAAATCGTGTAGTATTTACATTTAAATAAGGCTGATTCACATTCCAGCATTTTCCACATCATAAATCGAAAGACATGTGAAAGCGTAAACTAATACACGAAGTTTTTATACACAGTCCAATTCCAAGCTTAGGAGTTGTACAATATAATTATTATATGTACATGTATATATGTAACACTGTATATAATTAAAAAAAAACTTCTGACATTTTGGATATAAATTAGTTAATTTTTTAAAATGCTTAGAGCGATACACAAAAAATGTTAAAATAAATGTATTGATTAAAATGCACTACTGGGAATACTAAAAACCAGTATTTATTTTTGAATAGCATATAGTATATTAATACTAACCTTGCTTTCCAGTTGGTGCTGCCAATGTCCGACACCACACTAGCCGATATGACATCGCTAACAATTCCCTCAGCTTCTTCATCGGCTAGTTCTCTTTCAACATTTTGTGATGCAGATTTCGATAAACCTTTAGGCCCTTTTGATCTAACCACTGTGGCTGTACCTGAAGATATTTCTGGTTTCTTCTTTGCTGTTACTAATGGTGCAAAAAATAAAAAGTGCTACTGAAAATCTACATTAAAGCAAACCAAAAAACAAGTAAATACGTCATGTGCATAGAACGAATTTTTTTAGGATTAAATTAAATTTCTTCTGCGAATATTTTTTTATTTTAATATAAACTTAGTGACACTTGTGCATACAGGATGAGTTATAAATAATACGCTAAATTGTAACTGTATGTTCAAAAGCAAAAAACAAATATTGACTTTATCATTCTATGCACACAATTTTAAAAAGCACGTAAAAAATTAAAACAACATAAATTGCTTTATACTACATATTTACAGAATATTATTACGATAGTTTTGTATGCTAGCTTCTACACGAGAGAAGAAACGTGAATATCTTGAAATGGTTAAACATTACAAACAGTTTTCAGTCTTTATTAACAAACAACGAAAGCAACACTAATAAAGCTAATTCTCAAATATCCAGCATTCACATTATTTTTAGTAACTGTATTAAACCACATTTTTGACACTACTACCGAACAAGATATATGACACCGGTATCACACTGACTATTTATTGAAGACGATATTAATTCCTATATCTAAAAAGTAAAGCGGACAAATGATCACAATTTAGATTAATTAATATAATGAGTAATGTATTAGAAGTCGCTTCAAAAACTTGAGCAAAGAAGTCTTTCTGTGCGAATTGTTAAAAACACTTATGGACAATATTAAAAATTTAGTAACAAGAACAAGAAATATCCGAAGAACTAACAAAGAAAAATTTAATTCGCACACTGAGACAAATGGAAAATCAAAGGGTCAAACTATGCTAGGTAATTTCTTGACAATCTACAGTGTTATTGCCAAAGAAGAAGTCGCCCTGTTAGTACAAAAAAAAATATAAAAAAGTACTACAGTAAAGTACTAACAGTGACATAAAAAAAACACCCAGTAATTCAGAATTCATTACAATCTTTTATCCTTCTCCTTCGTAAGGATGTAGTGGCGTCATGTAATTTATTTGACTATTCCTGTCCAATTATCTCTCTCCTGTGCGTGAGAGTTAGTAACCAGTCATCTCCTTTATTTGGTCTGACCATCGTACTGGAGATCTTTCTCTGATTCTTTTACCGCTACGTTACCTTCAACTATCATTCGCTCCATGCCTTCTCTTCTCCTAGTTATATGTCCAAAATATCTCAGTATATTTTGGTTGATAGTTGTGATGAGCCTAGTTTTTATGTTAAGTTCTGCTAGAATTGAGTTATTTGTGCGATGGGCGTTCCATGGTACGCGCAACATTCTACGGTGGGCCCACATTTCAAATGCCTTTATACGCTTTGAATCGGATTGTTTTGTTGTCTTGTTCCTGAAGTATAGGTGGTGATAGAAAATATCGAAAAAGGTGTTTGTGTTTTTTGTGATGTCAGTGTTCTTCCAAATTTACATGTATGACATTCTGCTCATGTCGGATAGGCCACAACTGACGAAGTAAGTCTATAAACGTTTATCACATAAAAACTTTTTTCAACCATAAACTTCGAGTTTTTTATCGAAGTGAATTAATTTCCCTTTTTATAAAAAAACGTTTCTTGGCTTATTTCACATGCCCCTGAGGATGATCGATTGATCGAAAGTACTTGGACAAGATTTAATTAATTACTGTGCTCGATATTTGCCTTGTATACCATCAAAGAAGAAGTATCGTCAACCGCACCGACCGCGCCAATTATGGACTAACAACCTTTCATCAAAATTACGTTTATTGTACGGTGTCGAAATATAGACTCTAGGAGTATACAGAACGAGTCGAATGGAGGCTTTCGAAATGTGGATATGTCAAAGATTTCTGAAGATTTCACGGATATAACGCAAGACGAATAAAAGTGTTGTAAATAATGATACGAAAACTTCTAAACATTTTTTAAAAACGTAAACTGGTTTATCTAGGACACATTTATCTAGGAGAAAAATCGATCAATATAGAGATCAATTTATTATAATGATGGTCAATATTTAGTAAAGGAGAAGGATCCTACAGATAAATTACTAAACTACACAACTTATATTTTGACTTTACAATGGTTTTTTCGATACGGAATGTATTTCTTTCTATTTTTATCAATGATTCTGTCTGATCTGACCATTCAGAATTGAGCTGTTTGAACATTTAGAAATGAAATGATTAGAAATGAGCTGTTGATTCAATACTTTATAATTATTTTAAATTTGAAATTACCATTGGCGCTACTAAACGATTCCTATATCTCTATGATAGCATGGCAAACGTTTACCAAATGTATTATTTCAAATATCGTAATTATCTGAAAAAGAGTAGGCTCACTTCTGTGGTAAGAGTAATTACATGTTTGTGCAATTATTACAAAGGAATCAGAATAGAGTGATTTCAAATGTTTAAGTAGCTAAAAGAGCTTTCTTATTTACGTGCAAAATCGATTCTAATTGTCTTATAGGCCGATTTTAAATAATAGATTAAATAATTATGAAACCTAAAAAGGAATAATTCTACAATCTACAAAAGTCCACTTACCAGCAGGTTTTTTTGCCTCTGGTTTAGCCGTTTTGGCAGGTGCCGGTTTAGCAGAAGCTGCGGCTGGTCGTTCCTTCTTTGCTCCAGGAGCTTTAACAACAATGACCGCATTATCACAGAACTCTTTGATCTTCGTCATTTTTAGATTGTCTTTTTCTAATTCAACCAAAAATGGACCGATCGTTTTTTCTCCTACCAGCTTCATTAGCGTTCCTAAGGCTTCTGCAGATGCTTCTCTGACAGCTGGATCTATGAAAAAATTATAATAATTAGACAGATAATGAATAAGAAACATTGAACACCAAACATACTTCATTGGACTAAGAAATACGAAAGAAACAATATATGAAAAATAATGGTCAATTGAGATACAAAGGAAAAAATAATATATAAAAATAATGACGTGAGTTTTCAGGACTTACCTGATTCATTTATCGTTTTGGTTAATACACCTGTTAGAGCTTTGAGTAATTTTTTATTAACGGTAGTGGAAACTGTTTTTGTAAATGCTCTTGCCAAGAACAGTGATGTTTCCATTTTAACCGAGGGGTTCTTATTGTTAAGGGCTTCCACAACATCTTCTAATATCGCTTCAAGATTTGTCTGAAATATATATAAAAACTTGTAAATTATCAAAAAAAAGTCTTGGAGTTGACAAAAGAAGACATGTTTCTTTCAGAGTCAAAATAAAGTAAAAAGTATTAAGAGTGGTAAGTATTTACAAATTTTGCGGACGATGTAGTGTTAATGGTAAAAACTGAAAGGGAACTGCTTAGGATTTTATAACTCTGAAGTAAAGGCTAAACAGTATGGACTGATTATTAATTAGCAAAAAACAAAGTATATAGAAATGGGGCAGACCATATATGACACATAACTGAAGACTACCACAAACAATATAAACGTTAGACTCAATATAAACGTTAAGAAGACAAAGCTTATGATATTAGCAAGAAAGGGATAACAGAAGGTTCACTCTACGTCAACCAATCCATTGTAGAAAAAGTGATGCACTACAACTTCCTCGGCACCATAATAAATGAAGAATGGACCAACAACCAGGAGATTAGAGCACGCACAGGAAAAACTAGATCCACCTTCAATCGGATGGGGGCCTTCTTCAAGAGAAATAACCTCTCTCTTGATACAAAAGTAAGAATGCTGCGATGCTACGTCTTCTCTGAAACTACAAAGCGTAAAAAACATCTCCAGAGAGGAAAAATTGAGATTATATCGAATAGTGATCCAACCCACGGTCCTGTACGGAAGCGAAACAATGCAGAGATCCGAGAGCTGTACGGGAAACCAGGAATTAGCCAGATAGTCAGGTCAAAGATGCTTAGATGGTTAGGCCATCTTGCGAGAATGGCAGATGGTAGGTGGGCAAAAGCCCCTCGCTGTTAAGAGGGGAGGAAAGAAAAAAGATAAGAGGACGATCACGAAAAAAGTGGTTAGAAGCGTGTAAGACCTACAAACAAACGGGATATATAAATTGGAGAACTGAGGCCATGGACAGAAGAAAATATGAAGGAAACCAGTGAAAAAATTCCAAGCCATTGGTCTGTACGGCCTGTTGAGCTGTATATATAAGTATTCGCAAATGCACTATGAAACAGAAAAGAATTTAGTCTGTAAATCGTTTGTACTACTTTTCAGATATCTTTGAATGTGATAATTGAAGGTTTAGAAACATTAATATGCCCTCTTGAGATTAATTGAGTACGTCTATGATCGAAAGAATTCCATATAGTCACGAATTCGTTACAATGCCATCTACCACGTTATTACGATAAAAAGTAAAATTCGCTTTGATTCCGAATGAGTTTAAAAATAGCTTACCGTTAAATACACAGCGTCGATGGCGTCCCTCAATGCCGTAAGGACGTTTTGTTTTTTCTCTTTGAATTTTTCCAAGATCGCTGGAATGCAGAATCCAGCGTACGTCTGGAATTTCTTTTTTAAGCCGCTGGCAAGCCCTGCGATACATCGACCGGCTATGGCCACGCATACTACGTTACTGTCCTTTTGTACTACCTGAAAAAATGTATTTTTTAATTAAAAATTATGAATGTCATTCATTGAATGCATAAAAAATAATTTATTATTAAAAGCACCATTACAAAATGTAATTTAATGTACTACAAAAAATAAAAGCTATAAGTCAAAATAATGAAGTTTGAGAATATTAAAAAAAAATTATATTTGAAACTTATTTGTAATTTTTTTGTAAATGAACTATTTTATTATAAGTTTGATATTTCACGAATTAATTAACAAAAAAAGTCTAAACTATTATTTTGCCGCCTTTGTTCAAATTAACAAAAAAGAAACGTTTATTGACAAACTTTATTACCAGTCAGTAACACACGAAATATTTTAACCTAAAAAAACATTAAGCTGTTTTTTAGAAGATACTAATACGTCAGTACTTTCCACTTCAGTGGTTGGCCAACCAATTATTTCCTCATAAAATTCTTGATAACTTTCAGAAAGATACCTAGTTATCTTTTGAATATCATTGATTTTTTTAATGTTAATTGGAATTTTTTCCATCGGATAAGCTCTTTCCTTTAAGTTAAACATTTTCGGTGTTATGACTTTTTAGAACAAAGGAACTGGTTAGTGCTCCATCGATAAACTTCAATACTTCAACAAGCCCTTTTTTGTATGATTGTAGCAGAACTCTATAAAACTGAAACTGCGAATGACTGGATTTCTGAATGTTAAATAGATTTAGCGGAGGTTTCAACAGAAAGACACGTCTGTTTGTAATATTTGGACAACCAATTTTTAAAATCCAAAACGTCATAAGTTCTGACCATTTGTACAGTAAAATTCTGCCTCTCTGCAGAACTACAGATTGCTTTACAAACTTCCATTGGTGTATACAACTTATCCGTGCGATTGAGTTTGCGTTTTACCAAGCCAAAGTCCCCATCACATGACAAGAGTGGCCACGAATTGGAAATTTGTATTTTTTTTCAAACATTCCTGTGTCAGTGAGCACAAGGCAAAATCGGATCATAACATTATTTTTATTTTGGCCACCACAGCCGTCACTGTAGATGTGAAGTTCTTTTGCTGTGGTAAGGATGTTTTGCTTCAAATACTTGAAAATAAAGAACAAGTTTCATTTGGACCTTTTTTTAGTAAAGAAAAAACTGGGCACTGTTGTCTTTTAAGTTATGAATACTGAATGGAAATACTGATAGCTGACGTAAATAAAAAAAAAACTTGAACTGGAATCGACGGTAATAAAATGTTTTGCATATAATCGAAGCAGTCCAATAACGATGTCATTTTCTTTGCACATTTTTTTTCGTGTTTTGTATGCTATGATAACATTTTTTAGATCGTTTTTTATGCACCGTAAGTTCAGCTAAGGCAGCTCTTTTAGCTGTTTTTTTCAAAGTAGAACTTGTGAATTTAATATTAAGTTCTTCATTTTTCAAAGTAAAACACTTGCACGTCACGATTTATACAAAGTGACGTCACTTGTATTTAAAATTTCCAGAACATCAACCTTATAGCTCAAATTTTCCTAACACAGCTAATAATACGAAACCCATACGGAACTGCTCGATCTTTCATAGGCGTCAACATAGTGTAATAATCAGAAAAATGTAATCATCAGTATATTGGAAATTTTAGAATTATATTAATTAAATAACCAAAAACATTTGGTATTATTAATAATATAAATTTTATGAAATAACTCTTTAAGTATAATATTCCACAAAATTATAATTTTAATTAAATATATTAGACAATTGTATGCAACTGATACGGAAATACTTCAAATTTTATTGACAGTTAAGCGTGTGGCAAAAGTATATAAAGTGTTGCCGCTTTTTTAGACTAGGAATTTCGTTTATGTTTTGATTTCTTACACAATTTGATCATAATATAATACATATTAATAAATTATATTTATAAATACATATTAAATTTAGATTATTAGCTTTAAAAACTAATTATTGTTGTGTATTGTGATTGTGATATGCCAAAGGCTTTTGAAATGTGGCTGCACAGACGTATACTAAAAATTCCATGGACGGCTATGCTGACAAATGTGGCAGTCCTTGAGAGAGCAATTGCTGCTCGCGAGCTGCTTCATAACATCAATGTAGAAAGATGGCCTATTTTGGACAAGTAGTAAGGGGAGACCGATTATAATATTCTTCAACTTATTATGATGGGTAAAATCGAAGGACGCAGAGGAATTGGTAGAAAGCAGGCCTCTTGGTTGAAGAATATCAGGGAGTGGACAGGAATAAAGAGAGCTGAGCAACTCTTTAGAATAGCTCGAGACAGAGACAGTTTTGCCATGTTAATCGCCAACGTCAAGGGGACTTGATAGGGCACGTTAAGAAGAAGATATGCCAAAATAAACAAATAGTCTGTAGAAAGCTGATAAGCTTTCATATAAGATAGTAGTCTTAAAACTAAGTGTATTTACTGTTAATATAATAGTTTGACAAATAGTTGACATTTTAAAAATTCCTCACTTACTAACTATTCTGATGTTTTGGCAACACTGTGGAGTTCTGACGACGTAAATCTTGAATGACGTGCAAGCTTTTTTATATGAAAAATGCTATAGGTATTGATATTCTTTGGATGAATAATAACTTTGACAGGAAATTAAGAAATGTGCTCACGTACAATGTGCATAATATTACCGGGAACAGTTTTTCTATTATTCTGTAGACCCTCAAATTTTTAGGAGATTTCCCGAGATGTAAAAGAGTTTTTAAGCGTTGTATTGCTTTAGAACTTATGCCGTGTAAACTTAAAAATGTATGTTTACAAACTTACTCATCTGGGGTTTTAACTCCCTTCTTTCTCTTTTTTGCAATCTCTGTATCACTCATATTAAATTTGAACTGAAAGTAGCGTAGCATCCTGAATTTTCTTAGAGGAAGATAATAAAATTATGAGCTATTAGAATCACTGAGTATTAATAGTGAATGTGACAAGAACAGGGGAATAAACCCCACAAATCGTGGTTTTACTTTTCACTTATAAGCAAATATTCGAAAGTCAAGTATGATCGTAATTGATTATTTAGTATTCGTTTCAAAACACTACAAAAAAATTAATCAAATCATTTATCTTGTAAAGTTCCAAATTAAATTAGTAATTGTATTGCTCTTTTTTACGTTGTTTTCCTATCCTTTGTCAAAGAGAAATCATAATGATATTACTAAACAGTCAGGCATTATAACAATATATCGCTTTTTAAAATCAAAATGAAATTGTTATATACGGGAAAAAATTTTGTTATTCCTTGGATATTTTTGCTTTTTAATTATTTATAAATCGATACAAAAACAAATACCATATCTCGAAAATGTCAAACTGATACTTGAATAAAATTATATTCATTCAAAAAGGATAAGATAAAATTTTATTTTAGATGACAACATCGACTAGTTTAAGTCAATGACCAAATTAATTATTAACATCATTATTAATAGAATAGCTATTTTTATTTTGGGTTTTTATAGATAATAAAGTGCAAATTAAATAATATAATCGTGACATATACTTAATAGTTAATATTTATTTAATAACTATTAAAAATGAAAATATTTGGAAACATACTTAATAATATTATAAATATGTGAAATAGCTAAAATTTAATAAACCAAGATAATAAACCAAGAAATGAGAGAATTAAAGGCGAAAGTAATGCTTAGAATTTGCAATGAGATCTGGAATACCGGAAAGTGGCCAAATGACTGGGGTAAACTCACGTTTTTTCCATATATAAAAAAGATTCACCGATAGATTGCGGTAATTACCTTACAGTAGCATTGATATCACACGCGAGCAAAGTACTTCTATCCATAATCAATGAAAGACTAAAAGCAATTCTCTTACCACAATTCTCCAAGAACAATGCGGATTCGTCCCAGGTAGAGGAACAAGAGAACCTATTCTTAATATTCGTCAAATTATCGAAAATCTCGAGAGTTTAACCTTAGATTAGATTATGTGAGGTCGTTTAAAGCCATGCGGCCTCACCGCACTTCGACCTATAGAGATCTTTTGTGCATATCTTAATCTAGTTAAACTCTAGAATGCCAATACTTCTGATGAAGTTGATTAGCTTCCTAGGTGACTTGTTTCCTATGTCAGAGGACGCCAGATTGACTTCTCCTAGGAATTTTAGTCGTTTGCAGAACAGTGCTACGCAGTTGCATAGTATATGTTCTGCCGTTTCTTTTTCATTGTGACAGAAACGACAGTTCTCACTATCTGATTTGCCCATCTTCTTGAGATGATATCTCAGAGTGCAGTGACCAGTGAGAAGGCCAGTGACCATTTTGATATCTTTTTTACTCATTTCGAGAAGGCAGTTTGTTGCAGTAGGCGACACTTTTATGAGCCTTTTTGCTTGCCTTTGTCCTGGTCTGTTAGACCAATATAATCTTAGTTGATTGAGTTCCAGGTACGGAGTTCCTCTTGATGTGGCTTTTCGATAGTCCAAAGAAGGCTTCCCGACCCTGGAATGGGGTATTAGCTCTTCTTTTTGTCAGCTGTCGCTTCTCATTTCCTGCAATTCCCTTGTGACCTGGCAAGTCACGGAGAGTTTAACATAGAAAATATTTATGCTTTGTTGACGATTCCAAGGCCTTCGATACCGTAAAATGGGATAAAATTATACTTAGAGAAATGGGTACGCCAGAACATCTAATCTATTTATTTACAAAAACTATATGTAAATAATACTGCTAATGTAAGAGTTAATAATATGGTTTCGAAAAACTTCAAATTAAAAATCTGTAGTTCGACAGGATGCATAATATCCCCCTATTCTATTCAATACATATAGTGAACATATTATGCGTTAAAATTTTGAGGAATGGCAATGTGAAGCAACGATAGGAGGAAGAAAAATCAAAAACCTACGTTATGCTGATGACACTGTTATTTTGGCGTCACCACCAGAAATACTGGAACAAATTATGAATAGGCTAGGCAAATAACTCAATTCTATCAGAACTTAACATAAAAACTAGACTCAT